AAAGACTTGCAGTGCTGATGCGACAAAGGAGACAGACCCAAATACTGTCCTGACCGACGACGATCGTCTACCGGCCAGCCAATGGGCGACCCGGTCGCCGCTGCACAAGCGCCACCTAGAGAGCTATTAAATTTAGGGATCTAGCCGATGCACACTGGGGAACCATGACAGGCAGCTGTTCCCTGACTGCTGTCTACACAGCGTCATGTGTTGACACGAGCACTTGTTAACTAACTAGCACACAGATCACACATCTGCCGTCAGTCGGAGAAGGAGAATAGTTGAAAGAGGAGGGAGACATCTTTGTCAGTTGGAAACTTTCGGGTCCCGCTCTCCCCAAATAAAAGCCTCTGATTTGATGAATCTAAGCTTACCGCCAACATACAGCAGGCTATTCTATAACCATCCGGTGCTCCAGCTGAACTGTAATATGCGGTGAAGTGCGGTTTTGGGGATCTATTCCTGTTTTATTCTCATCCTGAGATCACAATCCTACAGACTGCAGTCCGGGAGGAGAAAGGGTTATCTGGGATTCTAATTATGCCATTATTTGAAACTCTGAAAGGACTCAGCAGCGCCTCGGATCGAAGAAATATTTGTCCTTCAGGTGGTTCGAATCTGTTTGGACGCGAGGCCCCCCTTCCCTCCCCTTTTTGGCCGTCCTGTTTCTTCTATTGTATATACTAAACAGACAGTGAATTGATGGGCATACATAGAAAGAAGTAGAAAGATAGAAGGACACACTAGACAACACACAAATTGAAAGCTGTTGTTGCCATGCACGGAATGGAACCTGTCTTCTCCAAATGGTGTGTGCGCCTCTCTATGGAAGCAAGTGTACTAAGATGTTTATTTATGTTTCTTCCATTGACCAGCGCCTCTACGCTTGTAGGGTTATCTTCTTCTCGATTGCTTATACGTATAGCTTAGCTGTAAATGTGCATTTGTTGTTTGTTTGATAGATGAGGTGCAATGAGCTGTTTTTTTGTCCATTAGTTTGTAAGCTGCCTGACCTCAGATCCGTTTTCAAAGGCTAGATAAAAAAAAACCTTGTCCATGAGTGCTGTCACGAGCTTTCGAGACTTTATTGTCTTCCTGTCCACATTCTAGAATCTAATTCATTAAAGGTAAAGGTAAAAAGATAGACTTCAATTCACCGGGTTTTTATCCCATGTGACTCAGTCTCTCTTCGCAGAACAGTTAGCTGAATGCTGTAGGCCTCACACAGAGCACGACCTCCGTAGATCCGGTGACGACCCCAGGGATCTCCGTAAAAAAATTGCACTCGTGAACTGCGCCGCCGTGAAACGAACCCTCGACCTTCAGTGTGCGAGGCACACAGCTTGACTATTTCGCCACGAACTCATCTCTCTCTCTCTCTCTCTCTCTCTCTCTCTCTCTCTCTCTCTCTCTCTCTCTCTCTCTCTGTGTTTGTGCAGATCGCTAGCCGTGCTGCGGAGAGCGTCGCACAGAGCATAAACTGCTGCTTCAGCGATGCTTCTCAGGGATCTCTATATAAACTGCACTTTTGAACACGACGTGTCAAAAAACGAACCCAGGGTAGTCCTCTTCGCCACGGACACCGGCAGTAGCTCAGTTAACATGATAGGGAAGGCAGCTGGCGCCCTAATGTGTGTGACCTTTTATGCTTATATGCTGGTCTAACTCTTCACAGATTTACTTCACTGGTCTACCAGCACTTTTCCTCGTCTCCAGCTCCTCGTTCATCACCACCTCCTCCTCTTTCTTCGCTTTCTACGTTCCTCCTCCTCTTCATCTCTCCATTCCCAAATGAAGCACAAGGCCTCAAGCATCAGTCATCAAACGCTTTGTTAATTCGTCATGATTTGGCAGATACGGGATGAGATAGTCTCACACCAAAAAATCTTGAATCGCCTTGTACGACCAGCATGGAAGGTTACTGTGGGTATATTCTTTGCTTCCCCGTTGAGCCCCGGTAGCACGCGGGCGGTCAACTTCTCCTGTAAATAGGTTTTACCAATGGGGGGTGCCCTGTTGCTGCTTGGTTGTAAGAATCGACATCATAGCATACCAATAAATACTCAGTCTCCCGCAGCAAAAGTCTTGAGGTGGAGATGCTAACTGATCCCGTAGCACACTGATTACACACATTTGATCCTTTCTTTCATACGTCCCTCCTTGCCGGATCCACTCATAATTCTTGGTTCACACATTCTTACACGTGTTATTTCATTTAATCGCCTGTCTTCTGCTAGCATTCATTCTTATATGGTCTTCAGAATGTTTTCTTTGTCCAGCTCGAGTGTTCCCGTAGCTATCGCTGTAGTAGCAAACACATTGACTCTTTCATTACCACACATGTTTCATATTTATCAGAGTTTCCTGTTTGATTTTATCGCACACACAGGGAGGAAATTGCCCGGGTATGTTACATTTAACAGGCACCGGTCTGACTAGTGCCTTGAACGTTGTGTAAACACAGACTTGTCTTTTGATTGTAGAAAGTGCCGACACTTGGTCTATGAAATGCGTAGGCAGCTCAGCGTGTACATAAAAGGCAAGGTTTTGAGAGAGAGAGAGAGGAGAGAGAGAGAGAGAGAATTGTTTATTTGACTGCATTGAATACACTGTAAAAGAAATGCCCCCCCCCCCCAAGTTTTTCAAGAACTAGTTTCCGAAAGTGGGCGTTACTACCTCTGCCACCAGTAGTGCAGCTGTCTGGTGGGTGGAAAGAGGGGAGGGGGGGGGGGGGGTAAGTATTTAAAAAAAGGTAGCTGAAGGTGGGACTTCCGAATGGGGGGGGGGGGGGGGGGATAGTTCCAACATTATTAAAAAGTACCAAAACAACAAAGGCTACAACAATTGTAATTATTAATTACAGAAAACAAAAAACACTTTTCAACTTCTTTAACACACACATACGTACACAGTATATTTAAAACTGAATTAGAATAGCTTCAGCTTAAAATAAACTGGAATTTTAAACTGCGATAAAAGACAGGAGGTACTGTTATTTTAGTCGGCCTCAAAGTGAAACACGGAATCCCTAGATCAGTCCACTGTTCTGGGGGTGCTGAGGTAGTAAGCTTCCCCCCCCCCCCAAAAAAAAAAAAAAACAGGTTAAAAAAAAACACTTATTAATCTAGGTGTCTAGGTCGACCTAGCCTGGACTCTTCACCGATCCAGTGCCGATTGGTCTAAAATTGTCAGGCTGACCCATAAGCTAGTTAGTTCTTCGACAGATTGTCTTCATTGTATCGAAACATTTAGTCCATGATTGCTGGGATTTCTACCTCAGTAAATCCAACAGCGTGTTGTGGCTGTTCTATTTTGGTTCCTTATTCTTCTCTGGCTTCCACTATAGTGCTGTTATCTGGCCACAACCTTTTTTAACTTGCTGTTCTTACACTCTGGTAACGGTCGCAGATTCCCATTCATCACTGGGTTCTCACAAACGTCTTAATGCTCGTAGAACATTCAGTAAATCAGCCTAGTCCATGGCTCGTCCGTGCTCTTCTGTTTGCCACCTACCCGTTCATTGACTGAGATTTACTATGTTGCGAGCAGCAAGACGCGACCTGTTGTAGATAGTGCTATAGCTATCGTTTTAGTCTGGTCTGTATTGGATTTATGCTCGACTGACTCCGTTAGTATTTGCATTTGACCGCTAGTCAATATAGGAAAAGAATTAGGGGACAAGGTGACATCTGCCACATGTGTTTGAAATGTGTGTGTCACACGCAGGCGATGGGACCGACACTGAAACGTGCACATGAACTGTTTTGACTCATATCTGGCTGTGATTCACTATATGATAATTTCCAGTATGTGTACAGGTCACTGAGGGGTGAAGGTTATGTTGATATTGGACTAACGTCAGTCTGCCTGCTTGATTGCTAGCCTGGTCGTTCTATCTGTTTGATTGTCTGACTCCTTCCCCTCCCCCTTCTCCACCATCATCATCGTCTGTAAGAAAAACATATTATCAGGAGGCCTGTAGTTTTGGTGAAAGTCCTGCAAGAAGTTCTTGTGTCACCACAAGAAGTTTTTGTGTCACCATAGACCGTTTATGTTCTTGTCTCATTGTAAGAAGTTCCTGTTTCACCACCATAGAAAGTTATTATTCTTTTTGCCACAAGTTCTTGTTCTTGTATCACCACAAGTTCTTGTTCTTGCAACATCACAACAAATTATGTTCTTGTTTCACAACAACAAATTATTGTTCTGTTCTTTCGTAATATCCTACCCCAGATGACGTCATAGGACAGTTTAACATTTTAGAGGGTGGTAAGACTGGGTTTCCTGGCTTTCTGGTGCTTTTAACGACCCCAAAACATCTAGAACTGGCTCTTACCCCAACCCAACCACGTCCCACGAGAGAATGCAGCCTAGGTCCCACGACTCCATGCAGCCTAGTTCCCACGACTGCATACAGCCTTTCTACCACCACCTGAAATATTAGACTGTCCGGTGACCTGTGGATTTCCCTATTTGGGGTAGGATATTAAGAAAGCGCCTATTGTTCGTGTATCACCACAACAAATTATTCTTCTTGTATCACAACAAAGGAAGAACAACTTGGCTTGAGTTGTTTGAAGGCCTGTGCTCCGTTGAAGGTAAAGGGCAGAAGAAATAGAAAAATCACAGCAAAAAGTTACTGTTCTTGAAATACTGATACATATCCATAAATCATTTCAGGAGCAGAGAGCACTAAAAGTCACCTTTCAGTCCAACAAAAAAAAAAAATTTAAAAATTATATGTAGTCCATAGGGCCGGATTTCTTCAAAAACAACCTTGGCTCCCAGGTCGACCCAGCCTTGAGTGGGTACCAGGTACAGTCCTGGGAAATAAAGGCGGCTGACATGATGCTGACCACATCACCCACCAGGTGCTGATTGGTCTAAATAATGTAGGTCTAACCCTATTTACTTTTACTTACTTGTGTGTAGTCCAGAAACAAAGCAGTAGAAAGTTACTTGGTTGTCCTAAACTGTTTTTTATTTCCTTTTGTTTATAGGAGATGTAGTCCTGAATCAGCTCAGCTTGAAAGAAAGTGCCCTGGTAAGTCCGGCATGGATGGCTCCACCAGAGGTCTGAGAATGATGTAGATTTTCCTTGTTGTCGTGTGCTCGACTCCCAGAAGTGTATGTAACATATCAGAATAAGACAATCCTTGTGTGGGTTCCATGATCCCTTTGTGTTGGACATACTGTTAGAGAACTCACAATGTGGAGAAACATTCTTTTTCCTGTTCGATGATCAGTGCTTGCAAGGCGTCTATTCCAATATGGATCATTAACAGAATAGTGCTCTTGAGCTCTTCACCGGTGCTCCATAGTTTATCTGATAGCGACACTCCTGTGGGCCTGGTTTCTTCTCTCGGACTAGCTGAGACTATGCTATCCTGTCAGACATGCTCTGGAGTTTGCTTTGGAGAAATATGATCTTCTGTGCAAGTCAGCAAGGCAGTTGGGGATGATGAGATGATGTCTTCTTTTGTTGGCAGTACACACTGGTAGGCAGTATCAGCAATGAAAGAATATTTGTAGGCATCATTGTTTAAAGTGCTACTGTAATAGATACCTTTTTTGTTGTTGTTGTTAGACACCTTATGGCAAATATTGGCACTTAAAGGGGATTTGATTTGATTTGATTTGATTCAAGAACCGACATCACAGCACTCGGGGCATTCCCATAGGTGCTCCGTCCCCATCTTCAGCAGCCAGCGAAGGGTTCCGATACTAATGGTGCCAGTAGCTTTCTGATTAAACGTCCGTCTTGCCTTTCCTCTGAGCCTTGAGCTTCTGCCAGAACCTCTCGTCACCCCCAACTGCATCAATCTCACCAGACTGTGGTGATCCATCTGCTCCTCTGCATTGTACACGCTCTCCCACAAGGCACTAACCACGTCTGCCCTATCATGTAGCAGTATTCCACCAAGTTGTGCAGAGCCAGTCAGTCTGTCCGCCTGTTCATTTCCCAACACACCGGCGTGGGTGAAAAAATCCAGACAATACTCTGCACTTGTGTCCTCCGCAGCGAAGCATGCCACTCTGCACAAAGCATAACTGTTCTGATCTTCCTCAGCATGCTTTCTGAATCAGTTACAATTACAATGTGTGTGTGTGTCGTGTTCTCTAGCCAGCGGAAATCTGCAGTGACCGCCTCCACCTCCATTCTTAAGCTGGATGTTGTGGTATCATATGCTAGGCTCTCCTGCACCAAACGTCTACCATTAACTTTTGCTAAAAAGCCCCAAGCACTTCTTTTGCCTCTTGACACTAAACCGTCTGTGTAAATGATCAAATCCTCTGAGCGAGCATTATCTTGAATTAATTGCTGAATTTCCACCTCAGTGGCACCTTATAGGGAAAAAAGCCACGAATGAGATCATTGTGATCCTCTAAACAATGATCCTGGCAGTATTCAGCTATAATACATTCCACTCCAACACTTGCCATGTTGGAGGCAGACACTGTGATCCAAGCTCCTGTTGATGGCTTCAGTAAGCAAGCTCTTACTGATGGCTTTAGTATGCGATCTCTTACTGATGGCTTGAGTGTGCAAGCTCTTACTGATGGCTTCAGTAAGTCATCTCTTACTGATGGCTTTAGTATGCAAGCTCTTACTGATGGCTTCAGTAAGCCATCTCTTACTGATGGCTTTAGTAAGTCAGCTTTTACTGATGGCTTCAGTTAGCAAGTTCCAACTGATGGCTTTAGTAAGCAAGCTCCTACTGATGGCTTTAGTAAGCAAGCTCCTACTGATGGCTTCTGTAAGTCAGCTCCTACTGATGGCTTTTTAGTAAGCCAGCTCCTTCTGATGGCTTTAGTAAGCAGTTCCTACTGATGGCTTCAGTTAGCAAGCTCTTACTGATGGCTTTAGTAAGTCAGCTTCTACTGATGGCTTTAGTAAGTCAGCTCCTACTGATGGCTTTAGTAAGTCAGCTCCTACTGATGACTTCAGTAGGTAAACTCTTACTGATGGCTTTAGTAAGTCAGCTCCTACTGATGGCTTTAGTAAGTCAGCTCCTACTGATGGCTTTAGTAAGCCAGCTCCTACTGATGACTTCAGTAGGTAAACTCTTACTGATGGCTTTAGTAAGTCAGCTCCTACTGATGGCTTTAGTAAGTCAGCTCCTACTGATGACTTTAGTAAGCCAGCTCCTACTGATGACTTCAGTAGGTAAACTCTTACTGATGGCTTTAGTAAGTCAGCTCCTACTGATGGCTTTAGTAAGTCAGCTCCTACTGATGGCTTTAGTAAGCAAGCTCCTACTGATGGCTTTAGTAAGCAAGCTTCTACTGACAGCTTCAGTAAGCCAGCTGCTTTGATGTCTTCAGTAAGCAGCTCATTTGAGAATATTGAACTCATTCTAAGCCGTGTAATGCACAGTTTGTTGCTTACTTTATATACATGTAAAACTTTCTTCCAACACCATTCTAATCCATGTAATGCAAAGTCTGTTGCTTACTTCATATATATGTAATACTTTCTTCCAATGCCATTCTAAGCCATGTAATGCAAAGTTTGTTGCTTACTTCATATACATGTAATACTTTCTTCCAACACCATTCTAATCCATGTAATGCAAAGTCTGTCGCTTACTCCATACATGTAATACTTTTTTCCCCCCAATACCATCTACTGATTCCACTTGTGTGTTTAACCCCCTCTACTGCAAAGTTGCATTTAACTCACTCTAACTTTATCTGTATCCACAGTTTTATTATTTTACCTCATTCATATACATATACCTGTTACTTCAACTAATGACTATTTTGTAGTAGAGAGACGTCAAGTAACAACTGCTTGGTGTACAACATTGAAATAACAGAGGAATTATTATGTCTGATTCTCAATCAGTACTTTGGAAGGTATAAAATGGACTGATGTGGCATGAACTGATAGCAAACATCAGGAGATCAACATTACAGGGACTCTATTTAAGTTTGAAATATGACGTGCCCGCTAGGATATGTAGGAATTTGAGACAATAAAAGAGCAGAATTTCTAGCTACAAAAGTGAAAGCTGTGGTAACACTAATTCTGGACAATGGAGACATTCTTTAGATGAAATAACATGTGTATGAATGTGTGAACGAGGAATTGGGTGTGGATCTAGCAAGGAGGGACCAATGAGAGGGGGAGAATGATGTGTGTATAATCAGTGTGCTACGGGAATAGTTAGCAACTAAACCTTTAGCCATTTGCTGCAGGAGACGGCATACCTGTGGGTGTGCCTGATGTACTGTGCCATTCTTAAATCAATAAATTGAGTCAACAAACAAAATGGAATGTTATGACAAGTTCTTTCATTATTTCCACATCAACAGGATAATTTAGATCTGCCAGTCAAGATCAAAGCAGGGCACTTAGGTAAGCTGGTTCTTTTGATATAATTGAGAATCTCTGAAGTCAGTTTAAAATAATGTAACCTGCTAACTGTGTTTTCTTCTTCAGCATTCTGAGTCCATGAGGTTCATTGCTGTCGATATCACCTACCCAAAATTGTCTCTCTGATTGGTCTTCTTTATCTATTGGTGACTTAAGTGTTTGTAAACCTGCCTGCATATAATCTCCACCATCTTCTTGTCTGCCTCATGATCTGCTCCCTTTCAACTCCTTTATGTGAGCACTTTCTGTTTCTCTTTTATTCTCTGTGTTAGCTCCAATCATTGCAGTCTGTCTGTCTTCATGATGTGAGTAATGAGTAGTGATTTATGATTATGTTGCAGTAATGTATAAGCTTGTGATTTAGAATATATTCTAGTTAGGAATTGTTGTCTGTTTACACATTTAATAGAGGAACCTACTCAACAAGTGATTTAGTAAAATTGAGCTATTGTATAACCCATGTAGAAACGGGCATTTAGTAGCACACTGACCAGGTAAGTGATATTAAAATGGAGAGACACATCTAATGGATACTCACTACGGGACCTCCAAACCAGTCTTTCTCCAGTTTAATAGTCTGAGTACGAGGTGAGAAAAGGCGTCTCTTTCACTGCCATAAAATCTTGCTCTGGGGATCAAAACACCTGCTGTGTGGAGAATCATCTCATTCATAGTGCTCAAGGCAAGAATCTTATCTTTAGCATACCTTCACCTCATTAAAACAGTTGTTTATTTCTCTACTTTTATTTCTTTGTCATTCTTTATCTCATTTAACAATCATCATTTTCTTTACTTAGACACATAGGGTATTTTTTTTAATTATTATTAGCTTGTTCATGTAATTTTTCCTTTGCTTATTCATGCCATATTTCCTTACTTGTTCATGCCAGTGGATCAGGCTTTGATTTACATTCACACAACCCAGAAACTCTTTTCTGAAAGATGGTTACATGCATTTACAAGTGTATGTGCTATTATCATTGAATTACTATATCAAAGTAGGCTTTGGAGTTTACATAGAGTATTTTGAGACCAACACTGTGCTACAAGGGTCAGACTTGGACATTATCAGAGGTTAATCTACAAAATTGACACTAGTGAGATAGGTTGCCAACATTCCCACAGTGCTTAACGGCAGATGTGGAAACTGATAATGTTGATAATGATACATTAGACAGTTCAGCATAGACAACCTGTGTCTGAATCTAAATACTTTTTTTTAAATGACACAGCAAAGCTAACATTGAAGATTCCATGGAAGAGCCTGTACACAGAGCCTGTGGTGGCACAGATAGATGGAATCTATGCTTTGGCTGTACCCAACATTGGTAAGTCACATGAGGTTTATTTCTCTCTGTGTCTTCTAAACCTGTAATCATGTTTTTGAGTCACTTGGATGCTAAAGTTGAGTTAAGAACTGACACCATAGCACCATAAATGCTCCATCCCCATGTTCAGGAGCCAGCACAGAATTCTAAGATGTTACCAGTAAGATTCTGATAGTATGTCCATCTTACCTATACACTGAAAGCTGTGTGTCAGCCAGATCCCCCCTCCCTCCCTCATTGCCTGCTGCATCATTATCTTCAGCCCATCATGTTCTGTTTGTGTTTCCACAGTGGTTCACTCACCCCTAAAGGGCCTTAATTACCTCTGGCTTGTTGTGCATCAGTTTGCTACCTAGTGGGGCAGAATAAGTCAGTTTGTCTGCTTTTTTCCTGTCCTCGGATGTTGCAGTTGATGCATTCGTCAAGGTCTCCTACTACACTCTTTACTGCTACCTTAAGTGTTCCTGCACCATGTTAAAGTCAAGAGCATCTACTTTATTGCCCCAGGTTATGCCGTACGGCTTGGTTTCTCTCTGCAGATAGCTAGAGCATCACACTAAGCACAGATTTCATAGCTCCAGTGACAGTACCCAGTGATCTTAAAAATTGCACCCATGAATTAAATAATGTGACCCTGAAATGAGCCAATGACATTGAGAGTGCAGGGCAGATGGCTTGACCACTTTGCCATGGAGACCGCCTGTGTTTCGTCCTTGTTTTTAATTTGATCTGTCCAGTGATGTTGACTGTAGCAAAGTAAAGAAAATTATTGTGAACATTGTGGCCTTATGCACGGTGTACCCAGCAGGTTTTCATATTGTCACTGCTGAGAAGTCTGTCTTGGTGATCTGTATACTTATCTGTTTGTTTCTTCTTCTTTTCTCTAGTTCTGTTCAGCATCAGTTTTTGAAGAAGCATTCTGGTGCAAGCCTTGATGTATGCCACATAGATAGATGCTGGTATTCACAGCCTCAGATTGTCCATCACTGTAACTGTGCGCTTTAATTATGTCTAAATGACAAGACTCTGTAGTGCAATGTTCTGTGATGATCGTATCTTATGCCATTTTTTTAGGGATGCAAAACAACGTCAGGATCCTGTCATATTGCATCTTAGACATGTTTTTATGAGGCTTGATTCATTATGAGCCAGTCCAAACAGGTAATGTTCTGGGAAGTAAAGGTGACCAACATGATGTTGACTACATCACCCCTCAAGTGCTGATTGGTCTTTACAAATATAGGTCAAGCCCGCAATGCCTGATGCAGCACAGGCGCAACAAGTTGACATAGTTTTATTGTGTTTGCCTGTTTTGTTTTGCTTGCAGGAATCAGATACAATGAAGACAAAGAAAAGAAAGCACCACAGACGCAACAAGTTGACATAGTTTTATTGTGTTTGCCTGTTTTGTTTTGCTTGCAGGAATCAGATACAATGAAGACAAAGAAAAGAAAGCACCACAGACGCAACAAGTTGACATAGTTTTATTGTGTTTGCCTGTTTTGTTTTGCTTGCAGGAATCAGATACAATGAAGACAAAGAAAAGAAAGCACCACAGACGCAACAAGTTGACATAGTTTTATTGTGTTTGCCTGTTTTGTTTTGCTTGCAGGAATCAGATACAATGAAGAAAAAGAAAAGAAAGCAGCACAGGAAGAAAAACAAGCCAAGCTGGCTGCATTTGAAGAACAGAAGAAGTTGGAAGCAGAGAAAGGTATGCTGCACTTTGAGAGACTCATTAAAAGCTGCATACAGTCTGTTGTGTTGGCTTTTTAGTTTGTTACATCATGTTTGACTTGTATTTAATTAAGTTGAACAAAGCAGTTGGAAAGTATGAACCAGATGTGACTGTGGTGTAATCTTGAGCGAACATGCAACTCTATGGCTTAGAGGTTAGTGAATGTGTTTCACAGGTTTGTGATCCTCGAGATGAGACACCAGGGTAACACATTTGATGCGGATGGTAGAAGAAATGAAGGCATTACCTTACGTTTGACAGTGTTATGAGAGGTTTGCTGTGGGGGGAGACTGGGGCCTCACCCTGAATTATTGGCAACAAGAGCAGTGGATTCATCAGGTTTAATGAGTAAACACAGCACCAGTGCCAAGGCCTGTAAATAACAGCTATAATCCCCACTTGGTTTACATTTCCAACATAGGGAAAAGAACGCTTGCTGCATGCTGATACCATTTATCCTGAAACTGTAACATGTGAAAGCTGCCAGTTATTAGTAATACGATCAATGCTAGCTGCGCACCCATACCCAAGTGATGAGAATAGTATTTGATTCTCTCTGCAGTGTAACTGTTAGCTGCTGCTCATGCTTACAGCTACTGCATGCTATATAATTTAATGAGGAGGAGATCCAGTGAGATATTCAGTGCTGATAATCTGTCTACTAACTAACATATGTCAGGAGGAGATCCAAGCTTTTAATGATATTCGGTGCTGATAAACTGTCTACTAACATATGTCACCAGATCTACTGCAAACTTAGATTGTTAATATAATTAATCATTGCCATTCCATACTTCAGACAAACCTAAAGACCCTAAGAAGGACAGTTTTGTGGAGAAGTTGGCCACTCAGGTCATCAAGAACCTACAGGTCAAGGTTTCCAACATCCATATCAGATATGAAGACAAATATACCAATCCTGATCGACCATATTCTGTTGGTGTTACACTTCAGGAGTTGGTTTTCCAGGTGAGTAACTACCTCACTCTTATGGTACCAGGCAGTTGTTACTTAAACTCTTATGTTTCAAGGAGATGAGCTTCAAAGCAATATATACTTAAAAAATGTTTGGGTTGATCAGGGACACTGTGAGACAGAAGTAGTTAAACTAATAGTTTGCATACAAAAAGTTAATATAACATTTGTCTGGGATAGAATACAGCCAGAACTTTGTGATAGAATACAGCCAGAACTTTGGGATAGAATATGACCGGAATTTTGTGATAGAATACAGCTAGAATTTTGTAATAGCATACAGCCAGAACTTTGTGGTAGAATACAGCCAGAACTTTGTGGTAGAATACAGCCAGAACTTTGTGGTAGAATACAGCTAGAACTTTGTGGTAGAATACAGCCAGAACTTTGAAATAGAATACAGCCAGAACTTTGTCTGTAAGAGAATACAGCCAGAACTTTGTAATAGAATACAGTCAGAACTTTGTAATAGAATACAGCCAGAATTTTGTCTGTGGTAGAATACAGCCAGAACTTTGTAATAGAATACAGCCAGAACTTTGTAATAGAATACAGCCAGAACTTTATTTGTGATAGAATACAGCCTGAACAAAAACATGATTCCCTCTTGTGTTAACAGAAGGAGCTCATTATAAATGTGAAGTTACCATGGTGTGTTATGTGACTGTTGTGAACTTCTAATGATTAGATGAACATTATATTAATAGAGACCATGGGATTTGTATTTCACTGGAATTAATTCAGTACTGTCTGCCTGTCTGCTTGCCTGCCTGTCTGTATCACTCACTCACTCACTCACTCACTCACTCACTCACTCACTCACTCACTCACTCACTCACTCACTCACTCACTCACTCACTCACTCACTCACTCACTCACTCACTCACTCACTCACTCACTCACTCACCCACCCACCCACCCACTCACTCACTCACTCACTCACTCACTCACTCACTCACTCACTCAGTTGTATACATCAAGAAATTAAAAATGAAAAAGAAAATAATAAAAAAATAATGCAACACACACTCACTCAGTAACTACATGAACCAAAAATGCTGCACTTGGTAAATGTAACATTTCCTATAATTATAATAAAAAGTGATAGAAATGGTGAAGTTGTCAAGCCATTTGCCTCACACTCTGAAGGTTGTGGGTTCGTGTCACGGCTGCACCCTGCAGGTCAGGAGTGCGGTTTTTATAGGAGATCCCTAGGGATCGTTGCCAGTGTTATGGAGTTTGTGCTCTGCACAGCGCTTTCGGCTTGTGGCTAGCCATTCTGCAGAGAGAGAGACTGAGCTATATGGGATAAAACCTGATGCAATGAAGTCGATCCTGTTGACTTTAACTATAATAATTTGTGTACATGTTATTTTGTACATGTTATTTTGTACATGTTATTTTGACAGACAACTGATGCAAACTGGAAGGAGACCGTCATCAAGGAGGCAGTCACACAGATTTACAAGGTAAGACTGTTGGTTCTTTTTTAGTAGGATAATGTTCAAGAAAAGGGAAGCTAGATACAGAGCAGACAATAGTCATCTTTTGAGTAGATAGAAACCAGATACAAAGTTGACAGTTGTCATTTTTATAGCTGATAAAAGCACGGTTCATAGTAGACAGTAGTCATATGCTGAGTAGATAGAAGCCAGATACAAAGCAGACAATAGTCATATATTCATTAGATATTAATCAGATACAAAGCAGACAGTATTCATATATTCAGTAGATATTAGTCAGATACAAAGCAGACAGTTGTCATATATTAAGTAGATGGAAGCCACTTACAAAGTAGGCAGTAGTCATATTTTGAATAGATATAAGCCAAATACAAAGTAGACAGTAGTCATACTTATTGTAGATAAAAGCGTGATACATAGTAGACAGCAGTTGTATGTTGAGTAGATAAAAGCATGAAACATAGTAGACAGCAGTTGTATGTTGAGTAGATAAAAGCATGATACATAGTAGACAGCAGTTGTATGTTGAGTAGATAAAAGCATGATACATAGTAGATAGCAGTTGTATGTTGAGTAGATAAAAGCATGATACATAGTAGACAGCAGTTGTATGTTGAGTAGATAAAAGCATGGTACATAGTAGACAGCAGTTGTATGTTGAGTAGATAAAAGCATGATACGTAGTAGACAGCAGTTGTATGTTGAGTAGATGCATGATACATAGTAGACAGCAGTTGTATGTTGAGTAGATAAAAGCATGAAACATAGTAGACAGCAGTTGTATGTTGAGTAGATGAAAGCATGATACATAGTAGACAGCAGTTGTATGTTGAGTAGATAAAAGCATGATACATAGTAGATGGCAGTCATATATTGAGAAGATAGAAGCCAGTTACAAAGTAGACAGTAGTCAGATATTGAGAAGATAAAAGCCAGATACAAAACAGACAGTAGTCATGCTTGAGTAGATAGAAGCCAAATACAAAATAGACAGTAGTCATATATTGAGTAGATAGAAGCCAGATACAAAGTAGACAGTAGTCATACATTGAGTAGATAAAAGTGAGATACCAAGTAGGCAGTGGTCATGTTTTGAAAAGACGGAAGCCAGATACAAAGTAGACAGTAGTCATACATCAGATGCCGAGTATGTTAAATGTTGAATGTTGAATCGACATCGCAGCACTCTTAACACTCCCATTAGTGCTCGGTCCCCATCTTCAGCAGCATGGAAAGAGTTCCAATTCCGATGGTATGTCACATGCCGCTCTTGTCACGTTCCTGATTTAAGGATTTCTCCTTAAGAACCAACAGCACTCTGAAATAATAATGTTGAGTCATTGGCTTGTATTGGTCTAAGGGATATCCCGTGGCCAATATTCGCTCAACTTATTTCAGTAGGGCAATTCAAGTTTTGGCACTACAAAATATATAATATTCCTAGGCACACTTGGCTGGACACCCCCACTACTATAAAAAAGGTAGCCCCCAGGTTATGATAGTATTCTATCATAGCCATGTTAACACAGATTACACTTATTACTCACACAAACATAAAATCTAGACAGTTAGAATGGTGAAACAGGGACACCTAAGTCGGCCATGGAAATTTCTGCATGTAATAAGTTCAATATAAATACAAATATAAATGAATAGATAATCAAGAGTGTTCGTTGAATGGAGTTCAGGAATCAATGACACAACCCAGATGTTGAAGCAGCCAGATGTAGTTCTTGGATATTACATGAGTTCATCATAGGAATCACAAGGAGCTGTGGGAAGAGAGCATGTATATGAATAAGAGATCACTTATCCCAGTTCGTAGGTCATTGCTTCCCTCAGTCCATGGTGATTCGACTGTAGTTGACTCAATAGGTAGCTATGCCTCGATTTGATCTGGTACAAGCTGACTGTCTCACAAGTGAGGACACAGGAACTGCATAAGAGCCCAACAAAGCTCTTGAAGACTGATTTTCTGGATTTATGACATCAGTCTCTGCAATTGTCCACCAGTCCTGGAACTCACAAACAAGCTCTTGCCATGTTGAGGTAGTGGCAACAATAGGTAGGACTTTTGGGTATGCTTGGTGCCCAGAATGGTATGGGTTGATGGTTGTTGGCTGGACTGTGATTCGTCTGCCTGATCTCTAAGGAGGTATCATCCTGTAAGGAAAGAACTCAGAATTAGTAATAAACCTTATTCACACACCAGCTCACCCCACACTCTGCTACCCTTCTCCATTCCTCAGAGTGTAACTCTCAAGAACAGGAGGCAATGTCTCCTTTCATTTATGTGTCTGTAAATTACTACACCAGATAGAAGACAAGGTATATAGTGGAGACAGATAGACACTACCACACATAGATCATCCTCTCTCCACCCTCACATCTGCCCTCGCAGACATACAATGTATACAGTTAGTACCTATATATATTTCACGTCTCCACAGGCTGTTCACAACACACCCACTGTGTCTGTGTCAAACACACCTTTGACTCAGAGCATCTAGCTCTGACGTCACAGCAGTTAACTGTTAAAAGATGACCCAGATTCCATATTTCTGCTAGGAGGCACAAAACTTCGTTTGTTTGGTCAGGGAATAATTACGTGTAGGGTTTAATATCTTTACAAATGGTGTGGGTTATGTAGAGCACAAACTATTAGTCTGCACAGGGAAGGGTTTAATGTTCGGAGCCTGATCTCTGGACATCAAGAACGGCCGAACTCTGTGCGATCACACAGCTGAATCTTTCCTCTCTGCAGCAGTGGCCATTTTTAAAAAGACATATATTATGGTACTCGTAAACTATAATCAACTTACCCAACCTTAGGAGTTCTTCAAAGATAGAACTGGTACGTTGAATGCGCCAATTTTATTCATAGACTGTATACACGTCTTGACACTTTGGTGATCAGGCGAAAGAATGCCGCTCAATATTACGCTTGGCATCTCTAGGAAAGAAGTCCCTGTATTCATGCCCAAGGAGTAAACAGGTTTACAGGAATTTCTGAATTAAACACCAGAAATACTCAGCCCACAGTTGCAAGTTTGAAAATGAAGATTTCTCAAAGCAACTAGAGGGTCTAGAAATGAATATTTCACCAGATAAAGGTAAAAATCAATATAAGGGACTATATACCCCTCCGGACGGATTTAATTTTGAAATATGATGTGCCCGCTAGGGAAGTCAGCGTCACGACTCCTCCATCGTGTAGGGTTGGCTGTTCACTCCAAGACATGGTACCAGTAACCATCTGATTGTAAATCCGTCTCATCCTTCCCCAGAGTGTTGAGCGTTGGCCAGATTCCCTGGTAACTTCTCGCAGCGCCATTTTCCTTAGACCTTAGGGATCTGTCTACGCCTCCACTCTGTTCACTCACTACCAAAGGGCCCTCACAATAGATGCCAAGTAGACAGTAGTCATACATCAAGTAGATAGAAGTCAGTTAACAAGTAGACAGTAGTCATACATAAGGTAGATAGAAGCCAGTTAACAAGTAGACGGTAGTCATTCATTGAGTAGATAGAAGCCTGATACAAAATAGACATTAGTCATATATTTAGTAGATAGAAGCCAGATATAAAGTAAACAGTAGTCATATGTATAGTAAATAAGAACCAGATACAAAGACAATAGTCATATATTTAGTAGATATGAGTAGAAGTGAGTGAGTAAATTACACATGGTTATGGGATGGCAGGAAAATGTAGTTGGTGATTTCTGAAGGTGTCATTAGCCAGGCCGTCCTGAATCTTCAGATTCAAGATCTCTGTGTCTACACCACTCTAAAAAGTGGTAAAACAGACAGTAGTCTGTAGTAGTAGGTTTTTTTAATAGTATTTTTAAAATTTTTTTTATACAGTCATCTGTTTGCTGGGAATTTGGGCCTGTAAATAAGTGTTTAAGTAACGACTGCTGCTGCTTTGTTTCAGTTGATACGCCTCGACTCCCTGTCAGTGTACTGGAACAGCAAGACTGATCTCCTGCATGATCAAGAGGGCAAGGCAATTGTGGTAAACATTTGTCTTTGTCTCATATATTTAGCATTAAGTTCCAGCCTTACACACTGTCTGATCAACGGACAAATTCACTGGGATTGACATCATTTAGTTATTACAGTAATTCATTAAAAATAATCCTTTGTTCTTATTTGTCTGTGTTTTGTCAGTGCCATAAATCCAAATATGTCTTCTGGCATGAAAAAGGGGTCCTTTAATTAACATGGTTTTGTTTGGGGACAAAATAAAAAGGAAGAAAATTTTTTTTTTTTTTGGGGTAACCTACATGTATGTGTTATCTATTTATACCCACTATGTAATGTGTTCTGTCTCTTTATGCTTTGATTGTTGTTGTTGTTGCTATATCTGTCTGTGTAGCAGGTAAACACATTTATGCTTTGTTTATCTGTCTGTGTAGTAGATACATATACTAACCTAGACAGTGCCAGCTTAATTTAGACAAAAAAGACACAAACAATAGATTGCAGAATTTATTGTATGGCATTTAATTGAACAGTAGCATCATTAACTGTATCAATTTTGTGTGTACACATGGATGTTTTAGCATTCATTTGTACATAACATGTGCCAAGAGTGTGTACACATATGTGCATGTATGTGTGCGATCTTAATACTTTATTTTAAATATTTCATTTATCATTGCCAATTACCACTGTATGTGTATGAAATATATTTCACTCATCCTCTGCTAAAAAAAAAAAACCATCTTCTGGCAAATTTAAACAATATTTGTATACTTTTAAAATATACGTACGACTGATTCAAACTGAAGTTTGTTTTCTCGTAAAACAAGTTTTTATGAATTAATAGCGAGTTTAAAAAAAATTAATATGTTGTTTTAACGCCTAAAAGTTAAATATTTGCAGTTGTGTAAGGATTTCTATTATTCAAAGATGAAAAGTTTGGAGAAGGAATATAAAACGATCTTGCCAACCTAAAGCCACATTCTGCTGTCCTAAGACTTTGACTGCTCTTTTCTTGATGCTTGTTAGCGCGCCCATAATCATCTTATTGTGCCATCATACATCACATAGGGCTCGCAGTCTCATCTTCCATTCCATTCTGTACGGTGCATCCTCTTGATATCATGTTTGGAATCCAGCCCAGAACTTTTGGCCTCTCAGCAATGTTCGCCTTAGCATATCTCTTGCATGTCCTCATTTACTGTATCAGTTTGTTTCCCAATTTAGTGCCTGTTTGGTATTTCTCTGTCCATTTTTACTCATTATGTGCTCAACGTATTGCTATCAGATGATGATTTGTCTTTTAACCGATGATACTAGCGGTTGCTCCGATATTTCTTTGATTTTTTTTTTAAACCTGACTTGAATATTCCTATTTAATGTTTATCAGTTTCTTTAGGTTGTGGTTTCAAATGCATTTAACTTTCATAGCTTATCCAGTAAATAAAAAAATGTGCACATACACTCTTCACTTTTTAAACTTATTACTTCACTTATAAAAAATATTTTGAAATCATGCTGACTTCACTACTTTATAAAGTATAGCAACAGCTGGTATAGTCACTACCCCACTTGTGTTGACCGTTAAGATGTTTGATTTGTCTGTCATCTACTGGAGCAATGTCTTAGCTTTATTCAGTAGGTAAGCTTTATATTAAAATTCCTTGGATGGCCAAAATGAGTGATCCAGATGTTTTGAAAGATGCGAAGATCTAAAGACAACTAATTACAATCGCCAGAAAGAGGCAGCCACCATTTTATAGATAATTAGAAGAAAGATAATGGAACATGCTTTGCCAATTGGACAGATTTGTGGATAGAATGGACGATACGAGAGGCAGATTGAGTCTTTTGCCATGGCAAGGAAGAATGTCAAATTTTGGGGGGGGGGGGGGGGGGGGGGGTCATAAATTGGGGAAAGTCAAAATTACTCACACCCCTTGGCAAGACATTTGGTGATAATCGTAAGCTTGTCATTTGGATTGTTTTTTAATTAAACATTTCTCTCATTCATGGTCTTATTCAGCTCCTTTTCACTGGCCCTAATGCAGTCACTCAAGCTCTGAATTGCTGACTTAGTAACCAGTTTCTTAGATCATTAGTTATATTTGAACTCCTTTATCTATCTAGTTCACAATTTTTTAGAATTTTAAACTAGAACCAAATAAAGCGGTCATGACCCTAAACTGTATATTTCACAAATTGATTTATAAAAACTTGATTTATAAAATGTATGCTAAGATTTAAAGTAAATTGTGTTTCCTACATATGCAGATAGATATTCTTGCCAACATGTTTCAGGCTTGATCAACGTGCTTGCTATTTTGATTGTTTAATTCAACATTTAGTTTATTGGAGAGTAATGCTTTATGTTTTGTGTAAATATCTGTTTAATTCTTTGTTTGGAAATGTTTATACTTGTTTTGACTTTTGTTTCCCATTGTTGATTATTGTTTATTTTGTTTGATTATGCTTAGTTTTCACAGTGGGATCTCATTAGTTTGCATTTTAGGAGAACCTGTGAGGGAAATTAATTTCTGGTTTGAAGTATTAAAATCTTTCAGGTTTCTGTTTAACGCTGTCACTTAAAAAAAAAAAAAAAAGCCGTTTATCTGGCATCTACGGGTTTTTGCTGACATAAGTCTTTGGACAGTAGCCACTACTCCTGTATAACAGATTTGGTACTGGCTACAACTGCATACTTTCTAGACATGATTTGTATGACTATATATGTCTTCCAAAAGAAACATTTAAGGTGTTATTTAGGGTAGAACTAAAAATGAAAACAGGCTGTCAGCCATAAATGTTGTGAATATGGAAAAAAAACTGCCCAAAATACTAGCTTTATGACCTTTAATTAATATGGATAGTATTTTGCAGGAAATCATACAAGCGGGGACATGCTACTGAGATTCCACTGTATGTAGTCTGCTTTAGTGATAATTAACTTTCAGTTTTGTTTACATTTAAGTTTGTTTTGATTTTTTACATTGTACTGATCTTTGTTTCTCCAGAAAGAATTGGCCAGTAATATACTAAGTGCACAGGTTACCACTAATATTGTTTTATTTTCGCTTGCTTCACCTCCTTCTCGCTGGCCGGTCCTATTTGGCTGCTAGCTGCATGCAACTTTACCTTTGTCTTTTCAGTTTGTGACCACAACCATTGAGCGATACTCTTATTTTGTATTTTATATTAGCTGAGTAATTTTTTTGCTGAATAAATCCTTATTTTTTTTTACTTAAAAAGATTACATTGGGTTCATAATCTTCAGACTATAATTAATATATACCATATTTGTCCATGTATGAGATGCCCCCATGTATAAGACGAGCCCTGTTTTTTTAAAAAGCCAGAATTAAGAAATAAATATTTTAAACATATTCCATGCATAAGATTACCCCCAATTTTAAACCAAACTTTTTGTGTAGAAAATAGGTCACCTTCATCATCATCAAGTACCTGGCAGGCAGGTGTGGGTGATCATGCCTCCGCAGTCTGCAACTGTGTGTATCATTTATGTGTTGACACCCCTCCACGCCATGACCAAAGGCTGTCAAGAATCTTCTTTTATTGTCTTGCTCTGTTTCTCTTTCAACAGATCTTTCCAGTGGTCACATTTTCCAACTGTCTTCTTCTCATTACATGACCACCTAAAATGAGGACTGCCTCTTTCTGATGTTTGTGATAAGTTGGTTGTCGCCTCTTTCAAAACATCTGGAGGGCTCTTTTTGACTGGGGAAGGAATTCTAAGAATTTTTCTGTAAAACTACAAAGCATGAAAGATTTGACACTCAAAAGAGTCACTATTCAGATACAGATCCAAATCCCAGAAATCATTTGCAGCCATTTACTGTCTTTACCAACTTTGTAAGGCCGTGTAGGACAGGGTGTCTGGTACAATTTAAGACAGTTTTATTAGGACATTTACAAAGTGACCTGCTGTCTTATTTGGCTGGGTTGATTATTGAGCTTCTTAATGTCCCTATTCAGTCAACACAAATGTTTGAATGACAGTGATTGTCTGTTTCTGATGGTCACAAATGGAAAAGTCTGCATGTTAATGGCTTTACACTTGAACTGTTGTTGTTGAGCTCATCTTACTTTGTAATAACCTTGCTCACTAACCTTCCCAGTTTCCTTATAAATAATAATAATAATAATAATAATAATAATAATAATAATAATAATAATAATAATAATAAAACTGCCATTTACTTGTTTAGCTTTCTTATGTTTATGGTGAAATTATCATTTACTTGTTTAGCTTTCTTGTGTTTATGGTAAAATTATCATTTACTTGTTTAGCTTTCTTATACATAGGCACATAGAAGCATTTCCTAGTCTCTCCAACACTTCACCGAGTTAATCTGTGGAAGAAAATAGGAGGTAGAAGTACTGACAGAATCATCCCTGTGTGGCAAAATACTTACTGGACACACACAAAAACTCAACGAGGATATGAACCCTGTCACCTTACTTTATTCTGTTATGACTTAACAAATAGCAAAACACAGATAGCTGTGGTCTAGTGGCTAGATGCTCACCTGTGGATCAGAAGGTCGTGGGTTCGGTTCCTGACCAGGGCCAGATTTTTTTCAAAAAAGACCTTGGCTCCCAGGTCGACCCAGCCTTGAGTGGGTACCAGGTATAGTCCTGGGAAGTAAAGGTGGCTGACATGATGCTGACCACATCACCCACCAAGTGCCGTTTGGTCTATAACATATAGGTCTAGCCCTATAGACCCAATACGCCTGAAAGGCATGGAAAAAGATCCTTTACTTTACAAGTAGTTACCTGGCGTATCTATGACCATTTATCTGAGGATGTAGAGTAATTTGTAAATCAGTTCACTAGTATTTGTTATCTAAATGGTTTTAGTTGTGTTTATGCAGTTTTATTTTTGTAGTCACTCTGAGGTACAGGTTTACACTTTAACCATTTGTATTACTAACAGCGATACACATTTGTGCCTTTGCTAATGCAGTATCCAGCTGGCTTGTTAACCTGCTTTTCCACATCTAACTGTCTTTATTAACTTGAACCTTTGAACTATCCTTGTTTTCTTACCTATGATTTCTTTGTGTGTAATAAGTGACATCAAACTACTGGACGTAAATTTGCCTAGAAAAACCAAAACAAAATGCTGGGCTTGGTTCTGCAATGTCCTGTAAAGGATACACAACTAACTAACAATAAGTAATATGTCATTTTTTTTTATATCAACCCTTTCACCCCAAATCGTCAGTATTTATATACTCTAGGTAAAGTCAAGGTTCCTTTGCACGGCAGTAGGAGGTCATATGGGGTTGGACTCATATTTTTTATAGACTAAACGGCACTTGATGGGTGATGTGGGCAATATCCGGCCAGCCGCCTTTACTTCCCTTGTTACCAATTTTTAAGCCTGGGTCATGCATAAAAAAAATATGGCTACATGCAAATTTGAACCCACATCTTTCAGCTCTGTAGGCGGGCATCTAGTCATTAACCCACCGCTGTTGCTAGGTTATACTGTGCCCTCTGTTACACATCCCTGGGAAATCCATAGGTTGGCTGTTTGTCTTTGGCCAGTCTCAGACAAGCCGTAAATGTCACTTTATATTTCTTTGAGGTGCAAGGAATGCATTCAGTTGAAGGGGCCGTGATCCAGCATTATGTTCACTTTATGACGAAAATATGTTTTTGAGAGTGTTAATAGTTCAATATTCATAGAATTGATCACAAACCAACGGATGTCATTTGTAAGCAGTTTATTATAATGACTTCCATCCCAGGAATAATTGTAAGAGAGAATCAATTTTTTAGCAAAAAAAAAAAAAGTGTTTTACAGCTATTTCAGATTTTTATATTGGAAACAACAACCTTGCTTTGCCTGCTAGATTCGAAACTAAACAAGTATTGACCATACAGTATTGCATTGTCTCTATTATTTGGCCACATTTGGTTGGTCACTATTCAAAATTTCTTTGGCGATGCATGCATTGATGAATGCATTATGCATGCGCAAAGCATGGGTCTTTGCCAGATTGGCTGTTTTGTTTATATAGCATGATTTGATGCTAGTATTTTCACTTCTACTAAAAATCTTCTTATAAACACATTTATTGTGCTGAAAAATTTATAGCTTTGGGGAAAAAAAGCACATTAAAATAACCTATAGGAATTCATTCAATTAAAATGTTCCTACTGCTAATATTGAATTTACGATGCCACAGTCTGACACACACACACACACTCTCTCTCTCTCTCTCTCTCTCTCTCTCTCTCTCTCTCTCTCTCTCTCTCTCTCTCTCACGTGTATGCACACACACACACACATGCAACCACCCGACCACTGGGATGAAAAGAAGAAGACTGGGTTGACCTGGGCACCAAGGTCAAGTTTGAGAAAATTCCATGCAGAACTTTTGACTTCTGGATGCACAGGCAGATATAGAGCCACTACACTGTGGCAGCTCCCACTTTTATTTAGTCCCCTTGGAATAATCACATTCACCCTCAATATCCACACGAGACCACTACTACTGGTTGAAGTTTGGAACTTTCAGTACTAAAACTGCTACTACCACCACTGCTACTACCACCACTGCTACCACCACCACTGCTACTACCACCACTGCTACTACCACCACTGCTACTACCACCACTGCTACTACCACCACTGCTACCACCACCACTGCTACCACCACCACTGCTACCACCACCACTGCTACTACCACCACTGCTACACTCCACATGGCATCTCCACATTCTAGTTGTCTAAATTGTCTACTGGGACACTTGGTCGACCCCTGACCTCACCTCTCTCGTAACATGAACTTGTTTACATGGTCTCACTGGTAGGCAAAAACCTATGTTGCTTGTGCATTTAATTATTAATTTTATATGAAATTTTCTGTGTATATGATGAAAAAAAAAAGAAATCAGTTAAAACAATCTTTCATTCTATGTTAATCTTATTTGATTTGACTTTCAAAGTTTAAAATCAAATTTTCTCACAATTCTGTTTTTCCTAATTGTGGTATGGCTAAACTCTCAAAATCTCAACTGTTATAAAGATTGGAAACATGGAATTTAGTGTCAGTACTGCAACAATATTTTAGGTAGTGAACTGTAACAAAAATGTATTTGATTTTATCCTTAAAAAAAATGATATGCCTTATGTCACCATTTCTCAAACCCTTTTCACCACGGCACCCTTGTAAAGCATTTTTTTTCTGTGGTGCAGCACCTTTTTAAGCGGTCTGAATACTTAAGAAAAGAAGACAAAACTGCAAATTTAATGGTCAGTTGTCTTTATTGCGATGAATGAAACTGTTTGGATGAATTTTTGATCATTTCCTTTATGTCTATGGGAAGTTAGTTAATGTAACCCTCAGAACACTTGAGGTTGCTGCTGTTTAAAAAAAAATTTTTTTTTTAAATGTAAGCGTACATTGAGAATATACTGCAGCCTTGCCAATAGCATTGTTTTCTGAATATACCTGCATCCAGAATTCTTTTTGGCTTCCTTTATGGTATTTCTGTTTCAAACTGCTGTCTTCGCTGACCTCAAGCCGATTGGAAAAATTCTTCATAATTGCCGAGGCACCCAGTTTGAGAACCGCTGCCTTATGTGATACTATATTGTGTGCCCTTTTCAACAAACTTAGATCTTACAATTCTATCATATAGTTATTTAGAAACATTTTTAAAGAAAATAAACTAGTTCATTACCTCACAATATGATTAAAGTTCAGGAAACAGTAACTTTTTTCTTAATACCTTGGTTTCTTTCTGAAATTCGAGGATTCTGCTTACATGTTTTTATCTTTTTAAGGTGGCAGTTGTGCCATGGCAACGATGATTCAACAAAAAAATAAAATAAAAAAAAAAATTGTAAAAATATATCATTTGTTGCTAAAAATGACTATAATAAAATAATTATAAAACATTGTTAATTAAAAAAAAAAACAATTTAGGAGCTATTGTGACATGTTAGTTCTCTACTTTGTCAATTTTTACTTATTTGATTGCTTCCCTTCCTATATTTCTTTTTAAAAAAAAACGTTACAATTAAAAAAAAAAACAAAAAAAAATTAATGACTATTGTAAAATGGTTACTTATTAAAAGGATTTTTCAGGAATTTCCGGGTATGGGACCTGCTGTGGTTTCCAAGGTTAAAGAGTTAACATGATAATCTGTGCATGTAAATGTTTATGGAGACTTTAACATGTTGGATACAAGCATACATGAAATTTATTGTCACAGCTAAAATAAGTAAATCTCTAGGGACAGAAGGCTGGTATTTGTGCTAAGTGGTAAGTCATTTGCCTCTCGCTCTGAAGGTCATGGGTTCATTTTCTAACACCATCCTTTGGTTTCCTTCGGAGATACTCCAGGGTTGTCACTGGTGCTGTGTAGTTTTGAGCTTTGTATGTGTGCTCATCAGCAGGTGACCAACTGTTTTGTAGAGAGGGATCAAGCCTTTATGGGATAAAACCTATTGCAATGATTTTCAGCATATTTTATTAATTTAGCATGAAATGGAATGTTGTAGCTAAATAAATGTAAACTAAATCATGGAAATCTTGAGCATATTCTGTAAATTCAGCATGAAAAGAAGAAGGAGGAAGAGAAGAAGGAGAAGAAGAAGAAGAAAAAGGAGGAGCAGAAGGAGAAGGAGGAACAGTGGAAGAATAAGAAGAAGGAGGAGGAGAAGAAGAAGAAGGAAAAAAAGAAAGAGGAGAAAAAGAAGAAGAAGAAGAAGAAGAAGAAGCAGCAGCAGAATAAACTTGAATCCAGGAGGAGGTTTTCAGCATACTTGAATAATTTTTCATGATCTAACATTCAGCTTCTATATTCTACATTATAGCAGGAATAGAAATGGGCACATGGGGGGGGGGGGGGGGGGGGGATGGCTTTTAGATACAGATGTAAAAATACATTATAATGATAAAGCAGGAATATACCTTTAAATTGTTGACAGAATAAGTAAGCTGTCTGTATTTTGCATATTACCTCTGTGTTTTGTTTATTTATTAATAATTTAATACTACTGTTTTCCCTTTACAAAAAAGTAGGACATTAAAAAAAAGGGACAGTTTTATATTAATTGTTGCTTCAAAAAACGCGTAAGGAATAATTTTCAGGTGATGGCGTATTTTGTTCGTGTACTAAAAGGTGGCATTGGCAGTCATGTCTATCCACAGTCTACTGTCAGTTTTCACACAGATGAGCTTCCATGCCAGACTATCCAGCATTTCTCTCTCTGTCTTCCCCTGCCTCTTGTCCCCTCCAACTTTCCCACAGTCACTACAGTTTTCTCCTTCTCATGACATGTCCAAAAAATGTAGATTTGTTCTCAACATTTGACTATAACACCACACAAAAAGTTACACTTATTTTATTTAAGGCATTAATTTCAATATTATTATTAATTTATATAATAATTACTTTATGATTCAGTACCTTTGGGCTCGTTTAATTAAATATATTAAACATTCGCTTGACCGATATTTCAACAGCCAAAAAAATTGCAGCCAGTTTGGCTGATAATCTTAACCAGGGCTTAAATTTTGGGTAGGGCTTTTATTACAAGCATCCTGGAAATATCTAGGGCTTATATTTTGGGTAGGGCTTATATTACAAGCATCCTGGAAATATCTGGGGCTTATATTTTGGGTAGGGCTTATATTACAAGCATCCTGGAAATATCTAGGGCTAATTTTTTGGGTAGGGCTTATATTACAAGCTCCTGGAAATATCTAGGGCTTATTTTTTTGGGTAGGGCTTATATTACAAGCATCCTGGAAATATCTAGGGCTTATTTTTTGGATAGGGCTTATATTACAAGCATCCTGGAAATATCTAGGGCTTATTTTTTGGTTTAAGTATTGTTTTGGGGGAAACACAGTAGCACATTTTTGGGGTGCTTATATGCTTCTCTTCTTTCCACATCCCATAAGATATCAGTAATGAGGGAGCCAATTACACTAATGTATCCTCTTTGAAAGCTTGGTAGCCTAGTCCTTCTTTGGTATCTGTATACAGACACACTGTAAATATTTTATTGGGTGGAGAGGAGCACATCCCATGACACTGGCTGTTATGCCCTTTTTGATTTTAAAATACTTTTTACTATTTATCTTTATTAATTGGAATTAAATTTATTATCAGTATAAATCACTATTAATCAGTGGAATCATGAGGTCTATTAGACATTTAAAGCAAATGGCAGATAACAGAGAAAAATGTGTGAACAAAAAAAACTTGGAGTAGACCTTGGAGCAGATCAAGATGAATGAGGAGATATAATATCCAGCCAGACCTACAGACACTTGGAGCCAGTCACAGAGATGAATAGAGGCGTATGAAATCTGCAGCAGAGAACTTAATAAGCACTTAGAATGCCGAAGAAGAAGCTGAAGACCTACAGACGTTTGGTGTAACCAACAGGGAGGAGACGACCAATAACAGAGATGAATGAAGGCATGTGCTACTTGCCGCAAACTCAAAAGGTTCTGAAGACTAAAGAAGGATAAAAAGAGTTATAAAATGTTAAATAATAGAATTATGGAAGATGTTGGTTGTTCACATATTATTGCCTTGGTTAAAGTGTAAGTGCCAGCAGGAATTTGCCTCTTTCTTTAAATTGTGTTTTTCTTGTGTGGGTTCTGAAGTCTTTGTTTTTGTTTTGTTTTTGTTTTTGGAAGATAAAAAGAACAGACAAATAGCCACCTAACAAGCAAATTGTAAGAGGCGACTAATTAGGGTTTGTTAAATTTGGACGTCTAGTGCCAAAAGGCACCAGTATTGCAGCCTAGCTGTACCACACAACACAGCGCTCCAGCTGTCCTTCAAAGAACGAACACAGATTTTTAATTTTTTTTTTTAGTTTTGTGTTAGTGTGCGCCCAAAATAAGGCAGGCAATCTGGGTGTGTATTGCTGCATTTCATAATGATTGTGTAACACAAGTAGCTTCTATCTTGTTGTCTATGTTTGGTATTATAATAATTTGTGCCTTTTTAACTTCCCCAGGCTGCCTTGTCAGAGAACATTCCAAACCAGGGGCACAAGACAAATTTACAGTACTGTAAGTTGTGTGAGAGAAGTGTGGTGGGTTAAAACAGATCTACAATTGGATGTTTGAGAGAAGTGTTGGGGGAAAAAAAAAGGGGAGGGGGGAGGAGAAGCTCTATGCTTCACTCAGGCACCAGCTTATTCTGTGCTGATTTTTACTGAACATCATACAAGACACCTGCCTCTCATACACACCCCATGCATCACAGAAAAGGCCCAAACTGAGCTGGTGTTTTGAGTGGTGCAGTGTCCAGATAAGCTGTAGCACTCATTAGACCACTCCCAATGCATCGTAGATGATAACGTTTATAGATGGCACAACTGGACCGTAAGGATTGTCCACCAGCAGAGTATCTTGCTAAATGACAAGTACTGGTGCAGGGGTCTGTCAGTCAAGAGTCCTACTAAATGGTAGCCTCCTGCTTAAAGGTTCACATTGGCTACAGTCATCCAGATATGGGAACATTTCCTTTAAAGTTGGAATGTGTCAGCCTAATTGGAAAAGGGGAGAGCAGACTGCACACACTTAAAAGCCAGATCTGTATCTGTAAAACAAATGTACACACAACACTCAGGTTCTGGACAAAAAAGCAAAGTCTAGAAACTGGTGAACTTCCAGGATTTTGGCTGGCATTTACAGCTGATAAATGCGAACAAACAACCAACATTGTTAACAACATCAATAACAGTAGATAAAATGATGGCGTAAACCAGCCATGGAATGTTCTCCACTATTTTTAGCTAGAAATTGAAGTAAAGACCTGCTTACGAGGTTCCCATTTTATGATGCTGCCATCCAGTGCAGTGTTCTTCATCCTGTGGTCAGCGGACCACTGGTCGGCCACAGATATTTTCAGGTGGGCCACCAACAGTTTCTACCTCATCCTATAGTGGCTACATGATTCTAGCTGTATGTTGATACATAGGGAGTATAATGGCACATAATTCCCGTTGTTAAACCTGTAAGCAGCATTAAATGGTCGCTGTAGCTGGCGCGAACATGTATGCAGAGGTTGGGAGGGGGGGGGGGGGAGATTATATAGTTGGTAGCTAAGTAGGTGGGCAGCAAACCTCAAAGATTGATGTTTAAAAAATCTATAGTTTGGTTGGGAAAGGCTGTTGTTTATTGTGCATCGAATAGTGGCTGGCCAGAGGTTAGTAATGGTGCTGGGCTCCCATGTTAGAAATGGGTTCAGATCCTCGGCAAGATTATGGACAAATGTTCCTGGTGACTGTACTGCCCATGTGTCCCTAAATGCTCATGCACAAAGTCCCTTGTCTACATCTTCATTAGAAAAAAATGTACAGACAGGGAGTAAAGAGATAGTCTGTTTGATGCTTATGCCTCTGATATATTGATTCTGGTTTCAATCTCAGTGTTCAAGCCCATCTCAGCGGTGGCACACCTGCGACTCAACACCAAACCAGAGCTGACGGACTTCAATATACCCAAGATTTTCCTGACCTTGGTGTTTGATGAAATTGCTGTAGCTTTGTCTAAAGATCAGGTAGGATGAAGATATTTTGTATCTTTTATTTTTCTGTTTCTTTTTGCTGGTTTGACTGGGATAACCTAGGTGCCTGGGTGATGCATATTATAATACAGCAGATTTTATAAGCTACTGGTAGAACAATATTTCTCGGTGATTCATTGTACTAAAAAAATAAACACTGAGTGTTTGTGCACATCTGTGTGCATTATATTCGTGTGGGTGTATATATGTATGTGTTTGTGTATACACACACATATATAAATATGTGTATGTATATATATATTTGTGCACACACGCACTCACATACACATATATATTTGTATGTAGGTGTGCATGTGTGCGAAGACATTCAGCTGTAGAAAGGCTGCCGAGATAGTGTGTGTCTGCATGTGTTTGTGCATGTGTTTCGATAGGGGATATAAGAAAATATTCATAATTGCCAGAATGTTAAGAAACAAATATCAGGTTGTTGTGAGTGAGTACATTAAATGTCAGATAATATTTAGGTTTTTAAATTTTACCTCAAAGTTACTATTTTTTTTTTAAAGTTTGCTCACTGCGTCTGTTCTGGATCCCCATTTGGGGAGGGGAGGGGGTGAAATAAACTCCCTACCTCTTAACAAGTATGTCGTAGGAGGTGGCTAATTAATGTTGTTGCCTTTAAAGTCAGAGTGTATCTGAGAGACGAGGACCAGCAGTCTGCATACGAATAAACAAGTTCTGTAAAATGGATGTGCATGCAAAACTCAAGTTCTGGAACTAGACCAAAATCCAGAAGTGGATGAACAGCTAAAACTGGAGTTTACAATCAGTGATTGCTAAGCAGATTGGGAAGTAGTTAAATTCTGGGTTACATTAACTGACTGTTGTTAAATTCTGTGTTACATTAACTGATTGTTGTTAAATTCTGTGTTACATTAACTGATTGTTTGTAAATGTTAATGTGCATGTACTGATAATGTTTGATGTCTACAGTTTGATGATGTCCTTGAAATGTTGGAGTCAATGGAGAGGATGGCCCTTCTGGCTAAATACAAGAAAACCCGGCCTGATGTACCCGTCAAGGGCAATGCCAAGAAATGGTGTGTAGCAGCGTTTCACGTTGAGAGGTTTTAAGTGTTTTTGTTTGTTGAAATCTATCATGAATGTACAGCATGTTGATTAGGCCACAGTTGTCTTATGTGGCTCTGAAGACTTAAAAACTAAAAGAGATGAAGGCTGATTACACATTTTTGAGAACAATCTTACAACTAATCTTTGGATCTTTTAAAGATGCAAACAGTGGATGATGGAGAGTGAGAAGCAGCAAGGAAATTAATAATCTGTTTAAATCACTACTGATCACTGGCATCATATGTAAAGTAAAGGACCCTTTCCACGCCTTTAGGCGTATAGGGCATATAGGGCTAGACCTATATTTTTATAGACCAACGGCACAAGATGGGTGATGTGGTCAGCATCACGCCGGCCGCCTCTACTTCCCCGGATTGCACCCGGTACCCACTCAAGGCTGGGTCGACCTGGGAGCCAAGATCATTTTTGAAGAAAAGTCCGTTTCCGCCAGGGAGCGAACCCACGACCTTCCGATCCGCGGCGAGGGTCTAGCCGCTCGGCCACGGCGACTCCCGGCATCATATGGGTTAGCTTGAAATGGCTGGAACACGTAGAGAGAATGGCAGGTTAAAAAGAGAGGCAAAATCTATGTACTCAAGGAAGTTGAATAGAACTAGACCATAAGGCAGTCGGAGAAGATAACAGAGAAATAACATCCAGACAGACCTACAAACACTTGTAGTCCCTTAGTGCAAACCCCTGTCTTGGTCCCTGTTTAAAGCAGTGGTTCTTATTTATAACTTTAAACAGAGTAGACAGAAATGTTGAATGTATAATTAAAAATCGACATCATAGCACTCGGGACACCCCCATGGACACAAATAACAGATTGCACAATTTATTTCCAGGTGTATTTTTCTATACCTCGTCAGATACATTTTACAGAAACAACTAATTTAGATGAAGCCAATAAATTAGTCCTTTCTTTTTCTTCTTAGTATTTATCGGCTGTAAACTCCGACAGAAAATTATGGTTGTTCATCCATTTCTGGACTTTGGTATTGTTCCAGAACTTTAGTTTTGTATGCACATCTGTTTTACAAATCTGGCTTATTTGTATACAGACTGTTGGTTCCTCACATGTCAAGCAGGTGCACTATACTTTTGAAGGAAACTCCCCTAGTTAAAAAATTCTTATGACATGCCTGTTAAGGAGGCAGTGGGTCCCCCCTCCCCCAAAATGGGGCCTAGAACCTGCACAGGGTAATTAATCCTTTCAGTCAATATACAAAAAATCCACACCCAAGTATAGCTGTTTTACCAGCATAAATGCAAGTTTACTACCATGTCTTTTTTTTTTTTTTGTTCACTAAAAACTGTTTGACCATAGCTAATGGCAAACACTTCAGCGGAGCAGCCCATGTTTTTTGTATATAACATTTCTGTAAAGAATTCTGAATGCATTGTCATTGTTAACTATGTGGCGAGAGTTTTCAAGAAAATAGGCCATCATGAACCCAATGTAAAAATATTTTCTCTTTTATTTCTTTGCCAGGTGGCATCATGCATATGCAGTCACACTGGAACACACTGTGCGACGTCGACGGAATATGTGGAATTGGAATAACATCAAACGGCACAGGAATAACTTGAAACAGTACAGGGAGTTGTACACTCAAAAACTGGATAGTAAGAAGCTCGGAAACAAGGAACAGGAGCTGCTAAAGGTAGGTGCCTTCTGGTTTTATGTTTCTTCTTTTTCTTGTCCTTCGTTTTGTTGTTCTTCTTTTTGTTGTTCTTCTTCTTTATGTTGTTCTTCTTCTTGTTCTTTTTCTTTTTCTTGTTCTTATTTTTCACGTTCACTGGCTGTAAGTTCTGGTAGAAAGCATTGATTCTTCATCCACTTCTGGTCTTTGGTTTTTCCCAAAACTTATGTGCTGCATACATGTTCATTTTTACAGATTTGGCTTATCTCTTTGCAGACTTATGGTTCCTTGCCTCTCAGGCAGAAACAGTCCTACTTCAGAAGAGTAATGTTTATGCCTATGAACTGTCAGCGAGTAGCTTAGCTACTAGTAGGGCCTCCCGTGTTGGACAGGTCGAAGAATGGGAACAGACAAAGAGGGACACACAAGTGTTGCCTTGCAGGATAACTGGAGACAGTCAAAGGCTATGGAAAGCAAATTAGAAAAGAAAAATATTTGTCGTCATTAGATGTTCTATGGTTAATTCTCTCTCTTACAGTTTCAACAGTTAACAATGATAATAGCAGTCATTTTAAAATAAAAAGGACCCTTTTCTAAACCTTCAGGCGTATTGGGCATATAGGGCTAGTTCTATATTTTATAGACCAGTTGACGCTCAGTGTGTCACGCCCGCCACTTTTACTTCCCAGGACTGTACCTGGTACCCATTCAAAGCTGGGGAGACCTGGAAGGCAAGGTCATTTTTGAAAATAGCCCGCCACCGCCAGGACCCAAACCCATGAACTTCTGATCCGCAGAGGAGAGCATCTAGCTGCTACACCACGGTGGCCACCAGTAAAAATAATACCATCAATTAGTGATATAAACATCGGTAGTAACAAATGTAATAGCCAGACAGGTTATATATAATTTCTTCATATTCTTAAATATAAGGGTTGTTGAGAGTATTGTTTGGTTTTAATGCTTCAGGTATTATCTACTTGATTATTTTGTTTGTATTTTTAGATGGTATAAGTAAATTACAGATATATAAAATTTATTTGTGCATTTCCCCTGCTAGTAATTCTCAGATTATCTGTATGTTTTATTTATCCTTCTCAGAACTTGGAAAATGAGCTTGATGTATTCAGCATTTGCATTTGCAGAAACCAAGCAGAAGTGGACGTAAGTGTGACTTAGATTGTTCAATTATCAAATAAGAAAAACAGAATGTGTAAGTGGAACTTTTTCAACAGCATAATCACATAGGACAGTTGAGTTAAGTTGAGTTAGGAATTGACATCACAACACTCTGGGCGTTCCTCTACACGCTCCATGCCCATCCTCAGCAGCCACCGCAGAGTCACATAGGACAGGGGCATTCAGTTAAGTTCACTCAGGGGCCAAAATTGTGAAAATGGGGATCGTCATGGGCTGCAGGCACGATCTTTAGCATAGAAGGAGCATTAGTACAGTAGAAATGACAATGATCCAGGAGCCACTTACTAGACCCTTGCGGGCATGATGTGACCGCAGGCTGCCAGTTGAATAGCCCTGACATATGTAGCTGTGCTGCTAAAAAACTGGCTTAGACTAGTTGTTGTCCTTTTCCCCCCCCATACTTCTTTAACAGTTGGCCCCATTTTATTTAGTTGATTCAGTGGTTTCCAGACTTGTTTCGACCTTTGCCTTCTGACTATCCAGACCACAATCTAGTGCATCCATTCATACACACACTTGAAACAAAAATAACTGGTCTAACACCTCAATAAAGGTTGGCTACAGTACACCCGCTGTTGTCTTAGGAAATATTACACAGCCTCTTCCACGGTGCAGCTCTCATACTAATGACCAAAAACTATGAGAAGGGTTTAAAAAAAATCTTTGCCAAGTATATCGACTGACCCCTAGTACTCAAGGGTCATGAAATTGTTAAAGGCATTTACTGATCTCTAAGCTACAGAGGCGTTCATGAAATATTAATTCCAAAATGCCCACCTAAAGCTGCATCTTTGTACCACTTACACTGGCCAAGCACTCCCCACTTCAGCTATCACAGGCACAATTAGGTAATTTCTGCTGTGAATTTAGAAGCTGATTTCTTGTGAGCATTTTTTGAGGAGTGATCAGGGGATCTGGCTGAAACTAAACACTCAAGGGAAGGGCGAGACTGATTTACAGTTAGACTATTGCTGGTGCCATTGTAATTGAAACTTGTGCTGGCTGCTGAAGAAGGCGATGGAATGTTTATGGAATGTCTAGAGTGCTGTGATGTTGATTCTTCATCCAGCATTCAACAATGTGGGGAAAACAAGAATAGGTCCACTGCCTGGCATGTTTTAAGAGTTGATTAATTGGAGGCTTACTTTGAAGTCAGAATGCATCTGCCTGAGCTGCAAGGAACAACCAGCTGCACACAAATAAGCCAGTAAAATGGATGTACATCCAGAGATGGCCCTGGCACAAAGCCAAAGTCCAAATGGACGAACAACTAGGACTTTCCACTGGAGCTTACAACCAATGAACAAAGAAGGAGAAGAAGAAGGTTTTTAGGGCATTCATTGCAGTAAATCCACAACTTCGTTCTGGTGCCTCATTATGGGGAAGAAAAAGGGGGGGGGGGGGTGGTTTAGAATAGACCCACTGCCCTCTAACGCCCATGAAGGGCGACCAGCTAGTAGGGTTTTGCTGAAATGGGATTTATTAGGCTGAAAGATGGAGATATTGCAGCCCATCTGTAAACCACAACACAACATGCTAACTACCGTTTTAAGGGAGGACGCAGAATAGGAATTGCATGAATGTGGGAAAGCATTGCTTTGAATTACTTGTTTGAGGGCACTTAAATGAAAACATTAAAACTCAGAGAGAAGCTACAACTGTGCCATTGTCTTTTAAGCTGTTTAATATGGTTGTTACGGATGTCAAAAATTTGCGCGTGACTTCACAGTGCAGAGAAACAAATTGATGCCATAGTGATGTTTTAAAGATCGCTGTCCCACTTTTGACATTCACCAAAGAGGAGCAGCTTTTCATATCAGTTTAAAAAAAAAACAAAATCAATGAAGGAGTGAAGCCTATAGGAATTTATTAGCGGTGAAGGTCCAGTATGGTGATGCATGCTTGTCAGTCCAGCAGTCAGCAGTTTACCTTTACAAGGCCTTTAACTTCTGCAATGGGTTCTGGGGTCACTATCCTACTCCACTCATACACTTGCTGGACTGACAGCTCTTTCTTATATTGTTCTACAGATTTGAAGTTAAAGCATGAGATGGATTGTGAGGATGAGTGATTTATTATATTGTTCTACAGATTTAAAGTTGAAGCAAAAGATGGATTGTGTGGATGAGTGATTTATTATATTGTTCTACAGATTTGAAGTTGAAGCATAAGATGGATTGTGTGGATTTGTGATTTCTTATATTGTTCTACAGATTTAAAGTTGAAGCAAAAGATGGGTTGTGTGGATTAGTGATTTCTTATATTGTTCTACAGATTTGAAGTTGAAGCAAAAGATGGATTGTGTGGATTAGTGATTTCTTATATTGTTCTACAGATTTAAAGTTGAAGCATAAGATGGATTGTGTGGATTAGTGATTTCTTATATTGTTCTACAGATTTAAAGTTGAAGCATAAGATGGATTGTGTGGATTAGTGATTTCTTATATTGTTCTACAGATTTAAAGTTGAAGCATAAGATGGATTGTGTGGATTAGTGATTTCTTATATTGTTCTACAGATTTAAAGTTGAAGCATAAGATGGATTGTGTGGAATAGGGATTTCTTATATTGTTCTACAGATTTGAAGTTGAAGCATAAGATGGATTGTGTGGATTTGTGATTTCTTATATTGTTCTACAGATTTAAAGTTGAAGCATAAGATGGATTGTGTGGAATAGGGATTTCTTATATTGTTCTACAGATTTAAAGTTGAAGCATAAGATGGATTGTGTGGATGAGTAATTTCTTATATTGTTCTACAGATTTGAAGTTGAAGCATAAGATGGATTGTGTGGAATAGGGATTTCTTATATTGTTCTACAGATTTGAAGTTGAAGCATAAGATGGATTGTGTGGATTTGTGATTTCTTATATTGCTCTACAGATTTGAAGTTGAAGCATAAGATGGATTGTGTGGATGAGTGATTTCTTATATTGTTCTACAGATTTGAAGTTGAAGCAAAAGATGGGTTGTGTGGATTAGTGATTTCTTGATTCTCTTGTCCCACACAGGTAGCCCGGCTGGGTAAGAAGCGAGAGGCAGAGAAAAGTCAGAATGGTGGCTGGTTAGGTGGTTGGTTTGGTGGGGGCAAGAAGAAGCAGAAAGAAGGGAAGCAAGGCAATGCAGATGCAGAGAAAGGTGGTTTAGATTTGAGTAAGTAAACTGTGGCTGGAAATGAATGTTGCTATGTTGTATTTTATTGCCATGTTGTATCTCATTACACAAAAGATAAAACGGCTTCATTCTCTGATCTCATGTTTTTGCTCATTTAGAGTGAAATTTGTGTGTGTGTGGTGTCTGTACAAGTCAGCATAGTCTTTACATATAAATGGAATAGTCAGAGATTTTGTTGTGTACACAATTATAGTAGGACAGATTGAGACTTACGTTTAGGTATTTTCCCTAATCTTGCAAAGTGCTGGCTGCAGATCAACTTGAGGAAATGTATTCCTCAGTGGAATCTGGTTATGTACATTCCCTCTGTTTTCTAGGTGTTGAACACAAATTAAAAATCTTGAGTTGTACATAAAGAAAACCATGAGCAGTTTGAAATTGTAAATGGTAAAGTCATGTATAATTATAGAAACCATCCTAAAAATGTTTTGTAGCTTGTGCTACCAGAGTCATTCACTAAAATGAGGTCCTTCTAATAGGTTCTGACGGAGGTGATAGGGGCGATAATGGATCACAGTGTGGTGAAGGTGGTTCTTGAATAAAGTCAAGAAAGCACAGCAAAATAATTTTGTTGTTGTTATTTACAGTGGGAGTTGTATAATTCACTGGAAAGGATTCATGTGTTCTGCTTCATTACATGTTGGTCTTGCTCTTTTTAGTATTGCACCTTGGGAGATAGAGCTAAGTATTCCATTCAATAAATTGTGTAATGTATTGTCTGTGTCTGCATTATTTAAATTCACAACTGGAGAACATTGTTTTTTGAAACAAAATTTATTTAGTTCTTCCTGAGGTCTGACTTTGTCAATTAGTGTCCCGTCATGTACATATGTCTTTGCACTGGTCAAACCATCTCACCAAGGACTGTTTCATTGGAATCTGCAATGACTGGATTTTGAGTTGAGTTGAGTCAAGAATTGACATCACAGCACTTGGGGCATTCCCACGCATGCTTCGTCCTCATCTTCAGCGGCCAGTTCTGGTACCGGTCACAATCTGGTTATATGTCTGTTTGACTTGATTGTGAGGTATTGGCATACTGCCTCCTTGCAGTCCTGTTCATGCTCCTTCCTTGCTCCTCTGTTCCCAAGTGACACTGTCTGAGGCATTATCTGTTTAAGTGTGATTCTTTCCCAGATGTTTGAACTGGATTGGGAATGAAGTGGTGGATATTTCAGTTTTCATTATCTTTCTTTCTTTCTTTTTTCTTCTTCTTTATTTTAGGGGGTAGGCCAGTTACTAACCATTGAATGTTATTTTAAATGTTCATTCAAATTTGGTAGAGTGTTCATTAAACTGTTGAACCAGTTGAAAAGGAACTGAAATACTTTGCTTTCTGTCATCAGCCAACAAGTTCCAGGAAGAGTTCAACGATGAAGAAAAACTCAAGCTCTACAAAGCTATTGGCTACGATGAGAATGCCAAAGACACTACTTTCCCTGTTGAGGTAAGGCACATAAAAAAAAAAAAATATAAAGCCCCCTTATAACAAGATATAATTAGCATGTGTAGGAAAGAGGTGGTAACCTGGTATTGGAAATTGTGCTGAAATTGAAAGTGTCAAATACAATATGAAATTATATTTTGTGCCAGTAAGCACAGGTGGGTGTGGATTGCCATCTCACTTGATCACTAGTCATCATTCCATGTGGTTAGTCCATAAAAGTAGTTTGATAATTTCCTAATCTTGATTGCAGCAGGTAGTTTGCCTTGCTTTCCTTGGCTGTATTCATACTGATTGATGAATATACCTGTGGTTACACACCGCCAACATTCTTTGTTAAGATGAGCAAGCAGGAAGGTGAAAGAAAAATATTACACAGTGGTATTTTTGACCATTGCACAACTTTTCCTCAATAAAATACAAATCATTGCACAGAAAAATCTCAGCCATTTTGAAGCTCTTCCTCACTTAAATGCAGTTCATTCCTAACTCTTCCTCCACTTAATTTCTCAACTCTTCATCACTGAAATCCAAGTCATTGTGCAAGTCTTCCTCACTGAAATCTAAGTCATTTTACAAGTCTTCCTCACTAAAGTCCAAGTCATTGCGCGCAAGTCTTCCTCACTGAAATCCCACCGGGCTGTTTCCGGGGTTCACCCAGCCTCTAGAAAATGGGTACCAGAGTTGACACTCTGGGATAAATGGAGGGCCGTCGCTGTAGCTACAAAGTTACATGCGAATGGCGACGCAGGCGGATAATTCTTATCAGCTGTCGGTGCTGGTGGCAGAGCACCTATGGTTTGGTAGTCTGGTCTGGTAGTCTTAGTTTCAGCTTCATAGCAAACAGGTCGCCCCATCTTTGCTCCGCTCCTGTGCCAGCGAAAAACACTCAGAATGTCTATCACAGTCCCTTGTGGAAAAATTGACAGACTGCTGTCTCAGCATATCTAGCATACACTCGCATTAAAGCATATGGTAGCCACCTATGGTTTATAACCATTTGCAATGTCGCTGGTTCACATCTCCCGACTTTACCTTTACTGAAAGTCATTGCGTAAGTATTCCTCACTGAAATCTAAGCCATTGTGCAAGCCTTCCTCATTTAAATCCAAGTCATTGCGCAAGTCTTCCTCACTGAAATCCATGTCATTGTGCAAGTCTTCCTCACTGAAATCCAAGTCATTGTGCAAGTCTTCCTCACTGAAATCTAAGTCATTGTGCAAGCCTTCCTCATTTAAATCCAAGTCATTGCGCAAGTCTTCCTCACTGAAATCTAAGTCATTGTGCAAGTCTTCCTCACTGAAATCCAAGTCATTGCGCAAGTCTTCCTCACTGAAATCCATGTCATTGTGCAAGTCTTCCTCACTGAAATCTAAGTCATTGTGCATGTCTTCCTCATTTAAATCCAAGTCATTGTGCAAGTCTTCCTCACTGAAATCCAAGTCATTGTGCAAGTCTTCCTCACTGAAATCTAAGTCATTGTGCAAGCCTTCCTCATTTAAATCCAAGTCATTGTGCAAGTCTTCCTCATTTAAATCCAAGTCATTGTGCAAGTCTTCCTCATTTAAATCCAAGTCATTGTGCAAGTCTTCCTCACTGAAATCCAAGTCATTGTGCAAGTCTTCCTCACTGAAATCTAAGTCATTGTGCAAGCCTTCCTCATTTAAATCCAAGTCATTGCGCAAGTCTTCCTCACTGAAATCTAAGTCATTGTGCAAGTCTTCCTCACTGAAATCCAAGTCATTGCGCAAGTCTTCCTCACTGAAATCCATGTCATTGTGCAAGTCTTCCTCACTGAAATCCAAGTCATTTTGCAAGTCTTCCTCACTGAAATCCATGTCATTGTGCAAGCCTTCCTCATTTAAATCCAAGTCATTGCGCAAGTCTTCCTCACTGAAATCCATGTCATTGTGCAAGTCTTCCTCACTGAAATCTAAGTCATTGTGCAAGTCTTCCTCACTGAAATCTAAGTCATTGTGCAAGCCTTCCTCACTGAAATCTAAGTCATTGTGCAAGTCTTCCTCACTGAAATCTAAGTCATTGTGCAAGTCTTCCTCATTTAAACCCAAGTCATTGTGCAAGTCTTCCTCACTGAAATCCAAGTCATTGTGCAAGTCTTCCTCATTTAAACCCAAGTCATTGTGCAAGTCTTCCTTATTTAAACCCAAGTCATTGTGCAAGTCTTCCTCATTTAAACCCAAGTCATTGTGCAAGTCTTCCTCATTTAAACCCAAGTCATTGTGCAAGTCTTCCTCATTTAAACCCAAGTCATTGTGCAAGTCTTCCTCATTTAAACCCAAGACATTGTGCAAGTCTTCCTCATTTAAACCCAAGTCATTGTGCAAGTCTTCCTCATTTAAACCCAAGTCATTGTGCAAGTCTTCCTCATTTAAATCCAAGTCATTGCGCAGGTTACTTTAATCCAATTGGTTATTAATGGCTTTCATCACATATGATGGAGAAACGATACACACACTGCTGTAGAGGAGTCAAGTAGTTCACCTTCACACACACTGCTGTAGAGGAGTCAAGTAGTTCACCTTCACATAACCAAAAAATGGAAACGAACTAGGTGCCATTGGGGTATGTCAGGCATGTGATACTAAGCTCATAATTTTAAAGACCAGTTGGCACTTGCTGGGTGATGTAGCCAGGGTCACGCCAGCTGCCTTTACTTCCCAGGTCATTACCTTGTACTAATTTTAGGCTGGATTGACCTGGATGCGAAAGTAAGTGTATAAAAAAAACCTCCATGGCGCAGATTCAGACCTTTGGGCTGGCAGCAAGCAACTAGCCACTGCTCTACCTTGGCTTCACATATACTAGGTTTATTGAGCACCTGCTAATATAATAAAACAATTCACTATCATACCAGAGCTCTTTTGCTGTAGAGTCAGTGAGTAGTTTTCCCCATAGGGGTTACAAAAGGCAACTAAAAAGGGGTGTTTCCTTTGAAGTTTGAGTGCATCTGCCTGAGAGTCTGCATAGAAATCTGTAAAGTGGATGTGCACGCAAAACAAATTCTGGAATGTGAGTAAAATCCAAAAGTGGGTGAACAACCAGAAATTCCAGCAGAGTTGACAGCTGGTGAACGCTAAAAAGAAGACGAAAAGTGAGTCCACTATTTTTCTAAATATCTTGATCTTTTGCAACTGACATTGTTTAACATTCTTACAGTTTGTGGCTGTCCGCTTGGTCACCAAACTCAACAAGCTCTCACTGGCGCTGGTTGATCGCAAAAATGCAGTGTGAGTATTTTTTCTCAAGTTTGATTAGATATACACACGTACACTTAAATTTCAGTTTAAGAAATATGGGCACTCCTCCCAATAATGGATGTTATCTAGGTCAGAAATCTACCCTTAGAGGGCCTCAGTGATTTGTAAAATTAGGATCTTTTCCCGGCAAATATGGCAGACAGACCATTAGCTCTGACACAGATTAGCAATAATGTTTTACCGATTGATGAACTGGCAGCTGTAGATGTTAGACCTGTCAACTTATATATATATATATATATATATATATATATATATATATATATATATATATATATAATAATGAATAACAAACTACAGTGATTGCAATGGCTTGCTACACACAGATTAATACAAAAACAACGTTTTCGGATAGTATTTTAACTTTTGTGCCACAATTTTAAGATATAACTGGTAACTATTAGTGGTAAGTATGTCAATATTTATATTTTAGTTCCCAGTTTTTAATAGGTATAATAGATGACCTATTGAGGCCCTGTAAGGGTAGGTTTTCGACCTAAATGATTTGTGGCCATTATTTGAAGGAGTGCCAAAATATCTATGTACAAACATACACATGAACTTTTTAGTTTGATAATTATACATTAATATGTACGCGCATACATGCATTTCAGTTTTGAGAAATATATACTTATTACATTCATTTACGCATGCCATTTTTAATGTCAGAAAAAGTAATCTCATGCATTATCTATGCTCTGAGAGCGAAATCTTAAGCCTGCACTTATGATAGGTCATAACATTATGAAGTGAACTGACAAGCTCCAATCCTCTTTGTTTTGCTCCAAAACCCCTGATATCTATTTCATTGCCAGAAGACGATGAAGATCAAGTTATTTTATTATTGTTAATTTAAAAAAAAAAAAATGGTCAGCCAACAGTTCACAATCAGCAGTGAAAAAAATGCAAAATGTTCCACTCTGTGAATATCTTGACTTCATAGATAACATCATGATGCATGGAATTAGGGCAGAAACACTTGTATGTCATTGTCTGTTACTGCTTTAAACAGTACATAATTCTAAGAGTGATGGGGTAACAACAGAAGGATAAGGCTCTATGTGAGCAGAAAGTAAGCATGAAATAATAAGATGAGGAAGGCAAACATAGAAAACTAAGGAAGGAGAAGGGAGGTGGAAGGAAGAGTGAAGAAGTGATAAAATGAAGAAGAAAAAAGGAGAAGAGTAAGGTGGGTGAAGTATGAGAAGAAAATGGAGAAACGGGCCAGTATTCAAATTTTTTAAAACAATTTATTCTCTACTACAAATGAGTTTTGTGAACACTTCAGTGATGGCAGCATTCCCGCTGAGAAAGAAAACTGCTTGCGTCGTCCTAGAATCAGCATGAAGTGTTTGTGTTGTTTATTTCTACAGAGACAGTCAGCTGTTGAAGTTGTCACTGACTGAAATCTGTGCAAGCTTTGGGCAGAGGCCGGCAGCCAATGCTATAAGGTCAGTATTAGAGCTGAGATGCTCGTTCTGCTGAACAATGTATCATTCCACTTGTGTCCACACTGTGCATTTATTTTCAGTTTATTCCCACAGAAGTCCAACTAATTTATGATTAGTACATTCTTCTACCCATACTCTTTGTCCTCATCCACATTATGCCTGTGTGTGTTGTATCGATATGTGTATGTCTGCTATATGTGAGTATTTTTACATGTACATTTGAAGATATGCATTTGTCACCTATACCTCTGTATTTTTACTATATTTTCATCCTATGAATTTTGATATATGAGCATAATATGCCTGGTATATATAATACAATGGCCTTGAAAAATGAATGCTTAAAAGGGCCTAATGTAAGATAGGTTTTCTTGCTCAGTTTGCCCTCCGTTCTCAATTATAACAAACCACCATAGTGTTAATGTGAACCCAAGACTTTCAGGCAGGCAGGCAAGTGCCTAGCCACTGCTCTATTAGTTTGTCCCTTCCAGGCTGCTATATAAAGGTTTACCACACCATCCTGAGATTTAAAAAAATCTCGGGATGGATGGCAGACAGGTCCCAGATTCCCTGTTCAACCACCGAAGAAGTTATCTTTAGCGCACCTATAAAGACTGCACCTATAAAGACTGCACCTGTAAAGACTGGTTTGCACCTATAAAGACTGGACTGCACATATAAAGACTGGACTGCACATATAAAGACTGGACTGCACCTATAAAGACTGGACTGCACATATAAAGACTGGACTGCACATATAAAGACTGGACTGCACCTATAAAGACTGCTCATATAAAAACTGCATCTATAAAGACTGCACCAACTGCGGTTTAACTTACAGTCTTATTTAGGTAAGGATGAACCCAAATAGTGCCTCTGAAGTATATTTTGGTTTGTGACTTTACACTTTTTCCCACAGTTTTTGAATGTGTGGACTAAATATCACATTCACTATACACCTTTATTGTGTTTATGCTTGGTTTTAAACGAACATTAATTTCTGGTCCCCACAGGCTGGATGTAAAAGTCGAAAGATTGCGCTCGGCCGGCTTCCCACGCAAGGACTACACCCCCAAGATCATCAGCTCCATCGGGGTATCCAAGGAGGAGAATGCCTCGCTGTTGACACTGTCAGTGGAAACAAACCCACTGGATGGTTTGTGTGACTCCCGGATCAGAGTTCAGTCTAGGCCTCTAGAGATCGTCTACGATGCTGTGAGATGTTATGTCAATAATTTTTTCATACTGAAAACAGACACTTGAAAATTATAGAACAATGAGAGTTTGCTGCATTGTATGTATTTTCTTCAATGCTGTGGAATACACTTTGAAAAAAAAATATAAGTATCTGAATGAAGGGGAGGAAAGACAAGGCCAACATACATTCAGCTCTGCTGCTACTAGAACCATCATAACCCGAAAGTTGCGCTGGTTTTGAAAACAGGGACAGCAGGTTTATAGGGATATCCAGAGTGCCGTGTCAGTTCTTAACTAACCACAATTCAACTTAAAAAAAAAGAAATTGAACAAATTAAAATTTGAAAGAAGCAACCTCCTGGAGCAGGGCTATTTAACTGGTGTCCTGAGGGCCAAACTCTTCTTAATTTGTTTGATCACATGCAAAGATTCACTGCCATACAACAGAACAGGTTTGATATAACATTTCAGTACTAGTTTTCTGATGTTTAATTTTGCTGGTGAAATGGAAAAAAAAAGTTTGAGCAGGAAAGCTTAGGAAAGACTGGCAAACGAAAATGAAATAATTATCAGGGGAGTTCAGTAGGAAAGTTGCAGGTTGAGAGCGTCAAAGGGAGACAAAAAGAGGATTTTAGACAGTGTTGCATCATGGCATGTGTGGTACCCACTGTGTACAAATCTTGCAATATTGCAGTTTCTTACAAACAACCTTTTGAACCGTGCATTTTGCTATACATGTCTGCTTCTGTCTGTCTGTCTACTTCTGTCTGTCTACTTCTGTCTGTCTACTTCTGTGTGTCTGTCTGCCTGCCTGTCTGTCTGCCTGTCTGTCTGCATGGCAGATTGGTAGTTATGTTTGTATGTTGAGAAAGGCCCAGCACTGAAGCGTCCTTTTGTGTTATGTGCACGCTATTCCCGATTTCGTTAAGCTTTTGGGTCATTGTTCATTTGATTAATTCCTTGGTATTAGCTTAACTGCAGTCACCCCTATTTTTACCATATGCTTGTATGTGTGTGTGTGGGGGGGGGGGGGGGGGCAGTATGTATACATGTGTATTTTTGATGTGTGTACGCATCATTTCATAATAAAAAAAAATATATAAACATAACATGCATTACTGATAATATGCAAATATGGCTAAAAGATGAATGCTTGGAAGGGCTGAATGTAAGACAGACCTGATTGCCTAATGTAAGACAGACCTGATTGCCTAATGTAAGACAGACCTGATTGCCTAATGTAAGACAGACCTGATTGCCTAATGTAAGACAGACCTGATTGCCTAATGTAAGACAGACCTGATTGCCTAATGTAAGACAGACCTGACTGCCTAATGTAAGACAGACCTGATTGCCTAATGTAAGACAGACCTGATTGCCTAATGTAAGACAGACCTGATTGCCTAATTTGTGACCATTTGAAGATACAAGTTTGTTCGTTCATCCTTCAAATGAAGGAAACTGTATCAGCTGATGATTTAGGCTCGCATGGCTAGTTTAGCGTTACTATATAATAATAATATTATTAATAATAATAATCACTGTTCTTACCATGACCCACATTTTATGGTACATGGTGATTTCTTCAGTTCGTTTACATTTGTTACTCAAGGAAAAGGTCAGATCGATGGACATACAATCATACTACTATTGGTACTATTCGAATTGGAAATCTGCGCTTGCTGCTGAAGATGGATACAGAGCGCTTATGTTAATGTCCCGAGTGCTGTGATGTCAATACTTAATTAAACATTTTCCCCGTGTGGGTTCCGGGGCCCTATTATGGGGAAAACAAGAATAGACCCACTCCCTACCCAAAAGCATGTCGTAAGAGTCGACTAATTGGGAGCTTTTTATCGAAGTCGGAGTGCATCTGCCTGAGAGGCAAGGAACCAACAGTCTGCACACAAATTAGTCAGGTCTGTCAAACGGATGCACACACAACATTCAGGTTCTGTAACAGGACTGCAGTCCAGAAGTGGACGAACAACCAGAGCTTTCCACCAGAGTTTACAGCTGGTGAACGCAAAGAAGAAGAAGAAGAATGAAACATTTGTTACTTTTGTCTTTTTTGTATTTCACAGATAACCATCAACTCTCTGGCAGCATTCTTCAGACCTCCAGAATCTGTGAAATTAAAACAGTAAGTATTGTTAATATGGTAGAGGTGTGTGTTTGTGAGTATGAATTTTTTTCACAGGTGTGTGAGAGAGGGATTGAAAGAGTTCCAAGGTAACAATAAACTTAATGAACATAAGAGCGTGTGTAATAGTGTGTGTAAGATGCAGCAACACAAAATACCGAGGGATATTAGAGTAACTAGCCAGGTTTTGATATATTATTAAGCTAAACACTATTTAAATCGTGCCTGGTTTGGTACTCATAGGCAATACCTGATCACACCTAGCGCGTTGGTTGGGACTGAAAGAGTTGAGTTTTATTGTACACTTACACTAGGGGCAGCCTTAAGGTAGTCGATAGGAGATTCACTTTCAAAGCCAGCTGTGATTCGCTGCAGCCCACGGCCGGTGTTCGAAACAGGGTGATTCCTGGGGTTCACCCAGTCTATAGGAAATGGGTACGTATAGGAACGTCACTGTAGTTACGGAGTTTCATGCAGACAGCGACACAGGCAGACAGTTTCTTATCAGATGTCCGTGTTGGTGGCAGAGCACTTATAGTTTTTAACTGTGTGCAATGACGCTGGTTCACATCTCCCGACTTTACTTTTTTTTGTACACTTACTAATTCTTATCACACAAGCTGTCTGTAGCTGCTGCATCTACATATAGTACATTGATGGAATTAAAATCATGCTTATGATCTCTGTTAACCCATCTCTTACAGACTGTCCAATGAGGTTAGTGCTAGAATCTGGTATGTTCATGGAATTAAAAACATGTTAATCTCTGTTAACTCATCTCTTACAGGCTGTCCAATGAGGTTAGTGCTAGAATCTGGTATGTTCATGGAATTAAAAACATGTTAATCTCTGTTAACCCATCTCTTACAGGCTGTCCAATGAGGTTAGTGCTAGAATCTGGTATGTTCATGGAATTAAAATCATGCTTACAATCTCTGTTAACCCATCTCTTACAGACTGTCCAATGAGGTTAGTGCTAGAATCTGGTATGTTCATGGAATTAAAAACATGTTAATCTCTGTTAACTCATCTCTTACAGGCTGTCCAATGAGGTTAGTGCTAGAATCTGGTATGTTCATGGAATTAAAAACATGTTAATCTCTGTTAACCCATCTCTTACAGGCTGTCCAATGAGGTTAGTGCTAGAATCTGGTATGTTCATGGAGTTAAAAACATGTTAATCTCTGTTAACCCATCTCTTACAGGCTGTCCAATGCAGCTATGGCAAAATATGACGAGATCAAGACACAGACTGCAGCTGGCGTTGCTCATATGATGTCAGAAAGGAAGTACGCAGACATTGACGTCCACCTGATGCCGTCTTACATCATCGTGCCTGAGACAGGAGAGCTTAAGAAGTAAGTAATGATTTCAGAGAAATAAATTGTAGTTTCAGAGAGATAAATTGTAGTTTCAGAGAGATAAGTTGTTAGTTTCAAAGATTTACTGGCATTTCTCCAAGCAGGGCACCAAGTTCAGGTGATCATTTCATTGAACTACTTTGAGCTGAAAATGAATCACTTCTGATCTTCCCTAGCTATCACTTTTTGTGTCATTGTGTGTCTGCATGTGCTGATTGCGTAAGAACATGAGTCTGTTCTGGTTGTTTTTTTCTGCCCCCCTTTTGTGTGTGTCTCCCCTGTTTTGAGTGGCACTAGATATGCAAGAGATTCATGATTGGGTACTCATAATTTTACTTGTGTGGAACTGCACCACACAATACTGAAAATGTGCTGCAGACAAGCTCTCCAGACAGATCACAGGTCTAGCCAGTTGGAACTTTGTTAGAAACCAAGCTGTATAAAGGATAAGCCTCATACCACAGCCTTTCTAGAGGTGCAGACATTCTGGGCACTTATGGGTTTGCCCGGCATTTGATGATGGTGATGTCCCATTTTGATATATCTGTTGCCCAGTTTCATTTTGTGTAGGATTTCTCATGTTTGTGATTCTAATGAAGATGAGATAATTGTGGAATTGTTGAACTGCAGGGATGTGAACATGCTCCTGCTCAACCTCGGCTCACTGCATGTTAGCAGTGAAAGGAACAAAGAGATTCCTGTTGGTGCACAGGTTGGTAATGTTAGCTTTGATCATGTTTTTGACAAGATAAAGACTGTCCACTCACATTTCTCACAACAGTTTTATTTGTTTAGTGATATTGTTTAGGATGTTTCCTTGTGTTGTGTCAAATCATGGTGCTTGTCTGTCTGTTCTCTCCCTCCCTTTTTCCTTATTCTGTCTCTCTCTCTCTCCTTTCTCCTTTCTTCATTCCTCTTTTTCTCTCTCTTTCTCTGTTCATGTATCTCTCTCTCTCTCTCTCTCTATCTCTCTCTCTCTCTCTCTCACTCTCACACATGCATGGGCGCGCGTGCACCCACCCCCCAACCCACCCACCCACTCACTCCATAGTTCACCTATCTCTCTCTCTCTCTCTCTCTCTCTCTCTCTCTCTCTCTCTCTCTCTCTCTCTCTCTCTCTCTCCCTCCCTCCCTCCCTCCCTCCCTCCCTCCCTCCCTCCCTCCCTCCCTCCCTCCCTCCCTCCCTCCCTCCCTCCCTCCCTCCCTCCCTCCTCTCTCTCTCTCTCTCTCTCTCTCTCTCTCTCTCTCCCTCCCTCCCTCCCTCCCTCCCTCCCTCCCTCCCTCCCTCCCTCCCTCCCTCCCTCCCTCCCTCCCTCCCTCCCTCCCTCCCTCCCTCCCTCCCTCTCTCTCTCTCTCTCTCTCTCTCTCTCTCTCTCTCTCTCTCTCTCTCTCTCTCTCTCTCTCTCTCTCTCTCTCTCTCTCTCTCTCTCTCTCTCTCTCTCTCTCTCTCTCTCTCTCTCTCTCGCTCCGTAAATAGCAACATAATTAGTTGGTGACTGCGATCAAACTGACAA